ATGGACAGCTGCTGACTCTGACAATGCTGAGGTTAACTGGAGTTACTAAATTGTTCATAAGTGTACTTGTGTGAGTGCACCCTGTGATGGGTTGATACCCCATCCTGGGATGTTCCCTGCTTTGTACCCATAGGCTCTGGACCCCCCACAACCCTGAATAGGAAAAGCGGTTATGGAAAATGGATGGATACAAATACAGCTAATGTACTAAGACAACTATATTATTTTATTTAGGATTTTGGCTAAGAACATTATTGGGACTGTAATGCTAGTCAAACTAACAAAGCCCAGCACAAAGTCAAGTGATCTATGATGCATCATATACACAGGATTTAGCATGGCATACAAGCACAAAGACGGGAATGGGTATTCTAGTTAAAAACCTGTCATTGTAAGTTTAAGTTTAAGCTCTTGGAACACATTTCAGTTATCTTCATTAGTTCCAGCTGACCTTAGTCATCAGGATTATTTTCACAATTACTGCACAAATTGGACCTGTGACACATAAAACTGGCCAACCCACTTGCTTTTAGCTTTCAGTCTGTCTGTAACCCCACCCACATGGCTTCTTACAGTCTTGAACATCACTCTCCTAGTAACATGGGGACATTTCCCTTATTACCCTTTTTCGTGTTCAGGTTTGTATCATTTTAATTTACAAAGAGTATACTACAGACATGGATTTTTTCCACTATAAAAATGCAAATGGAAACTAAAAATATAATTATCAGGGTACCTGCCTCCTGATGTGATATTTAAGACTTTTAAGACCATTTTAATACCACTTCAAGCCAAAGTTAAGACCAAACTGTAAGCAGAAGTATGCTATACCAGAATCAATAACTGTATATTTATACTACAGTGACTACACCCACTTTTCATTCAAGTTTGTATTTAAAAGGTCCAACAATTGATGTGTAAATAATAAATAAACAAACAAATAAGTAAGTTAGTTACTTATATCAATGTCTTTTTGTGCAGTCAGTCCCCTGTTCTTAACCATAACCAAAATATGGTGTCAAAAACCATGTAATCCAGATAAACCAACTTCGTAATATACCCCAATAGAATCAGTCACATTTAAACGTAAATAAAATATTTTTGAACATCAGAATAAAATATGCTGATGACCTCAAAAAATGCAAGATCTAGTAAACATAAATGTAGAAGTTTTTAAGATTTATCACCTTGATTAAGGATCTTGTAAAAATAGCTTAAAGTGAATTAAAAGAACTACATACAGAATATCACAGTAATACACATTTTCAATTTTCTTTTAAGTAGTAAATGGCAATACAACTTATACCAGAAAGCATATTGGTGTAATCACTGAAAGAAGCATAGAAAACATAATAAAACTGAATGTCTTCTGCAGCCGCACTTTCCTTCCTTTATGCTACCTAATCCTGCTGATTCAATTGAAATTCAGTTCAACTCAGTTTGAGAAAGATTTGTGATACTTTTTGAATTATTGAGCTGAATACAATTAACCTTCAAACAACCAATTTTTAAAATTTATCTTCCCAGTGAAGTAAGAGACCTTTCTATTCAGCTACAGTTAAAATAGTCATCAGAAAAGATTTACCTTCTGTAATTTCTCCACTAATTTACTACAGCATAAAACAAGCATAACCACTTAATGTTTCTTAAAAATTCTGAACATTTAAGACATAGAGAACCTGTCTTGCAAATGTAGGACCCCTTATTCTCTCACCAGTCCTCTAAAGATCTGTCCATTTTCCCTCAAGTAATATGGCGACTTACCAGCCACAATAAATACATACTTAATTTGAACCATGTGGCAGCAAATTAAAAACACAGCTTTAAACTGTGTATTTTCATTTTTATGTTCCAATTTTTCCCTAGGGATACTGTAAACTAACTTGCCTGAGACTGGATGGAGCAAGGGAGGAAGCAATCTTTCATTATGACCTTTAACAGTGTACCTTCACAGATTCAGGGGCATACTGACCCTTATACTTTATCTAATGCTTTACACAAGCACATCAATGGCCATGACTCACAATCCTCGCAATGTAAGCGTTGATCTTCAAAAACCCTATTGACTATGGCTGCCCAGATAGAGAAAAAGAGGGAAAAACATTATTGGAAATGGATTGTGAAAAGTCAATGTGCTCTCTTCATTGTGTAATGAACAAAAATCACTTACACTGGAAAGACTATGATTATTAAAGGTCTTATGAGTATATTTAAACTATTACCTCACTGAAGACTGAACCTTTAACTTGAAGTGATTATGTTAAGTTGTGATTTGTTTGGGGTAGGGTCGGGGGGGAACTGCCACCAAACCAATTTATAAAGGGAATAATTTGAACTAGTATTTTTATGTAGCATGGGACACAAAGCACTTAAAATTACCAATGAAATAAATAAAAAAACAAACAAATATGACAGAGAATGACAGCTCCCCCTTCACTGCTCCATCAGTACTTAGTTTCTGAAGTAGTATAACACTGGGTTGAATTGAACAAGAATCTTTTACGCAGGGCTGAACCAGAAATCTGACAAATTTCAAATTTCCCAATTCCTCCACAGGTACAGATGCTGTGCTACACTACAGTGAAAAATACGGAGAATCAAAAACAGAAGTTTTTAAATGGGTGTGCTAAATGAAAGTTCTTAGCTTATGAGCAAGGTTGAAGAGAGGTTGAAACTAAACCCATGTGTTGTGAAATCCGATATTTGTAGAGGAAGAAATAGGCTTCATCAGTCAGAAAATTGGAGCCTGAAAACAAATACCCAACACTTGCCATGATTCGCAACATGCGAATCATGATATCACACTTCATAGTGACAGAATAGGGGGGCCATTGGGCCCATGCCTTTCCAGCGCATCTAGTAAACTGCAGAAAACCCACTGAGGGACCAAAGGTGCCTGTTGTTGTAGTTGCTCTAGTTGAACTATAGTTTTGCTGTGCAACATGAAACAAAATCCTTTATCACTCAGCTACCTTGGTGGTATGATGGTACCACTGAAGTAGATTTTATCAGACCTCCACACACTAGAACGAAAATCAGTAAATTGTCAGTGAATACAAGTTGCCCAAACCGTATGCTCCCCCATTTCTGTAACAAACGTCAACAATTCCCCTAGGACTCCATTTTGGTCTGAGACAGTTTATGCTTCATTTCCCATTGGTCCCACTTCCTGTTCACCCTTTGCTTTCCCCTTCTGGTTTTTGAAACCATATCACTTTCTGAAATTGGCTGCCGACTGCAAATCTACCTTGTTCTTCTGTTTCACTGTAATAGGGCCACAAATATTGTCTATTGCTTGGCCAATAAGCACTGTCCCACTAGGACCAACAGATAAGACCATCAGCAGAGTGTGGGGAAAAACCACTTTTGAAAACACAGATATGGCACTTGGCTCTCACTCCTGCTGTGTCAACGGAGTGCTGTGGACAGGGAACTATTGTACAGGATGACCTGTTGGACAAAAATGTGAGGGACTGCTGATGTTATCCAAAAAGTAGCATTGCTGCTGGCTGCCTTAATGATGGTGGGAGGACATAACATCTCTGGATCAATATAGGTCTATGGTGTTCAAAAGTTAATACGCAAATGCAAGTCTTCATGCACAGCTTGTCCAAATGAAGGATTATAAATCCACGTTTTCTGTTTTTTTTTTTTTAGTTTTACCTTTCCAAAACACTATAGAGAGAGCTAATTTGACTGTTAGGTTATCAGTCTAATTTAAGTAATTGTTCTTGGTAACTATAAGACAAAAGGGAAGAATCACAATCAGTAATATTTGTGATATCAGGAATCACAACAATATATTTTATGTCTTTGAAACTCTTTTTTCACAGGACATGCTTACTTTCAATTAAACTGAGATGAACTCTGCTTGCCTTTCCTGTGCTTCATTATCCACCCAACGCGACACGGGTTCTGCTCAGTGAGTGAAGTAATATGTGGACCTTTTCACTGACTTGTAACAAACGTTACAATAATCTCTTGCAGCACAATCTTAGTTTAAGCCCATGACGCCATGTAGGGCTGGACGATATGAACCAAATATCATATCTCGGTATTTTTTAGTTGGATGGTGATATCCGATACATATCTCAATATTTTTCCCATAAATTAAAAACCAAAAGACAGTTCCAACTCAGAACCAAATGTCCTCAATGTCACACATGTACTTTTTATTAACAGACAATTGTACATGAAAAAATGCCTCAAAAATAATCTACCGGCATATATTGTTTTACCAACCAGCACCTCTATGCTAGCTTGTCTATGTCTGTCTCCATGTTGTTGCTGCATGCAGAACTTGTAAGTGAGGGGGAGGGGTGGGGCAAGGTACAGTTGTGTGAGAGACAGACAGAGATAAAGTATACAAGTAAGCGCACTGGCAGTACTACGAGCATAATTTTAAAGCAACATAAACTATATCGATATAAACAACATTGTCTCATCCTATATCTCATATGAAAATATATCAATATATCTTAAAAACTCGATATATCTTGATGTATCGGAATTGGATCAGAACTGAACAAATGTGGATCGGCCCATCCCTAGTAAGAAGCAGGGAACAATAACGACATCATTAACTTATTGCGTCCCACTCAGTGTTTCTGTTTTTGTTGTACTGAGCATGTGAAAGGCACAAGTATTTTCCTCACGATTAATAAAGTTCATTCTTGTCTTATCTTAAAAGACCCAGTGTGGAATAAAATCACAGATGCGGTGACATTTCAGATATCATATAACGTGATGCCTATATAACATGTGATGCCTGGGTTCAAGAAATGTGTTTGCCATTCTTAAACTTGTTGATTTAAAAAAATAAAAATAAAAACAAAACTTATTTGAATAATGTCTTTGATTTTTTGAGTTTTTTTTTTTTTAATAAAAATAAATAAATAATCCAATAAAATTGTAAATCGGGTGTAGGAGTGAAAAAATAGGAGATTTTTAGGACATTGCCTAGCCCTTGTGAAAGGGTGCCCTTTGTATATGTTCTTAATATAAATATTTTTTGTCTTTATAAAGATGACTATTGAAATACCAAATCTTTTCTTCCAAAAAATTAATTTAATATTGCCTGTACATGTACTGTACATACTAGGTACACTGTTAATTTAAAATAGCATAGACAACACACAAACAAGTTGTCAAAGTTAAGAAGCACTTTTAATTTGAATGTTTTTCTCTCCTTGATTTCCTATAGCAAAGACATAAACTAGGCCTAGTTAGTCATGCTGCCATTATTCTGAATGGAGGGCTGTTATATGGAAAAATAAAGAGTTCATAGTTTAATTAAAAGGTGATCTGTTTTTATTTTCTTAAATATAAAGATAACAAAATCGTACCTTTACCTTGGTTCAAAAACTGTGACACATACTGAACCATGGGAAAACTGCACCATTACACCCCTACTGTCCAATGACAGACCCTATTCAAAATGACGGAGCCTGAGAGGATCTGCAGAGAAGAATGGCCAAAACTCCCGAAATCTAGGTGTGCAAAGCTTGTCATGTCATACCCAAGACACAAGACTGTAATCGCTGCCTCAACTAAATACTGGTAAATGGTCTGAATACTTAAGTCCATGAGATGTTTCAGTTTGTTACCTTAAATAAATTTGCAAAAAAAGTCTATGTTGTTTTTGCTTTGGTATCATGGAGTATTGAGTGTAGATTGAAGAGAAAAAAAGTAACTGAAACAATTTTGCCTTAAGGCTGCAGCATAAAATTTGAAATAATAATCCAAAAATCCAACTGATGTAGAAATTAAAGATTTCGGTTGCACTGAATCAACCCATGGTTTCCATTTTTTTGTTGGGATATTACCACTGTACATTAAGTTAAGCAATCCAATATTTAACATTCTTGCTTGGGCAAATAAAAGAATATATGTAGAGACCAAAGAAATGAGTCAAAAGACTAAACATACCACACGTTATAATATAATGCTCTGTATTAGAGAATCTAAAGAGTAATTAAAAAAAAAATCCTTAAAAATGTACTATAATGTATGGTGCTTGGACAAGTTTCTTAATTAACAAATCACTCCAAAATACTGACTAAACTAAGAGCCCAGTCTGCTGTTTGTCACACCAATCATCCAGGAAATCCCCCAGCTTCAATCCCCACTGCTTTAGGTTCCAGCCTGAGCACACCAGTGAGTAATCACATGAACTTTCTTAATTAGCAGAACAACATCTGAAACATTGGGGGCCAGAGAGGCACCCTGCCTCCTGTAAATTCAGAGGAAAGTGTGGGGTACATAACTCATGTATGTGGGTATTTAATCACAGGAAGCTCCAGACAATAAGAAAACTGCCTGCCAGATGAGATGCCTGGTGCAGCACTACACTTGGTCATTCGAGGACACCAGCAACAAAAAGACTGACCAGTTCAGTTGATCACGAACTAAGGATGTAAAAGAAAAAAAAAACCACAAATAAACAAACAGATGGTCAGCAACAAACACATTCTGTTTGCAACCTAATACTTCAAATTCCAGAGTGCTCTGTGTGGAATTTCCACTGCTCTTTACAATCTTCTACTGTTCCAATCAATAATATGGCTAATCATTATGAGACACACGCAGGTGACCTTCAGATTAAGTAATCTGCTTGCTTCATGTGAATTTTACAATAATTATCATTATGTCAACTAAATTAGACCAATGAGTTCACATAAAGACAAAATACTATTATATTATGTATAAGCAATTATTTGCACCTGTCAATGATATTTATTTTAGTTGCACATATTTTGGTATAAACTTCACAAACACTACATCATGAAAGAACAGGACTAAAATATAGTAAAATGTGGCAGAGAAATCACTACAACGGTAAATATGGTCAGTTAAACAAATAACAGAACAAACCTGTAACGCACCTAACAACACGTCATCTGAAAACATTCCATCTTGCTTTCAGAATCACAAAAGCTAAATATTGAACATTGCAGCCCCCTTATGGGCATTATTGCAACTGCAAGGACTTACGTAATGTGTCGTTCCTGTTGAGCCTAGACACACAATACACAAAATATTTACATTTTACATATTTAGCAGATACTGCTGTCCAAACAACGTACAAATGAGGCTATTAACATATGCATGGAATAACCAGGGAAATAAATCACAGCGGGCAGGTCTTCAACCTGTACACTAAATAATCTCCACCATGCCACACCAAATGAGCAAAAGCACTGAACTAGATTTTTAATTGTTAGTTTTCCCGCTGACAACATATTTTGCAATATATAAATACGTAAACTTACAACTACTGTACATGTGTATTTTTCCCTTCAACATCTTTCAACTGTTTGGCGCCTCCTAGTGACAAAACACAGAAAGAATATTTGCCACTATTCCTGAATTAACACCGATGACGATGAAGTCATTCAATGCGGTTTCTTAGAAAATGCCACAGAGCACATTCCAATGATTGTCTGTTTAGATTATGCTATTTTTTCAGATTACCCAATTTCTGACTAAACATATCACTCGTGGTCATGCATAATTTCAACTCACTAATATCAGGGCGTTTCGAGATACTGTAGCAAAGGGCAGAAACAAATTGTGTGAACTACTTTAATTTATGAGGATATAATATCAACCGTATCTAATGAACCCACCCCTCATGATGTATCATCGTTTAACAACGCAAATCACAAAGAAAAAGAACAGTCACTTCTTCGGGCCAGTTTCTCCCCTTTGATTAATATGATGGACCCGACTCGCTTTACAATAATCCACTCTTTGTAGAAGCTTAGATCAGGGATTTTCAGCCGTGGGTCCGCAAGCCATTGGATGTCCACAGAACAGTTGCAGGGGGTCTGCAGACACGTACAGTAAAATCAAGTTACCGATATTACTATCATCCGTTTTACGCGATGCCAATACATATAAGGGAAATTAACCCTAAGCAATTTTCACTTGCCTTACGTTAGTGCGTGATCACGTATTCGTGTTATGGGAGACATAGCTAGCTCTAGCACATTTTCATTTGCGGGTCCCTGGTTTAGGAAAGTTTGAAACCCCCTGAGCTATATCCCACGCTCAACGCTAACCATGTTCCAGATACAAACCAAATTATTCGGTGACTGCCAGCTTTAATGTAAAATCGGCCATAAAACAACGGTGATTTCAATGTCGTGTAATTTCTTCGTATTATAATTACGTTGTATATTAATACAAGGACTAAGAGCAAACAAAATTCAAAACTGCAAAATTCCTGTGCATATCATCACCATAGCGCTCGTCTTCGGTTCCGTTTAATTCCGAGTATACATTTCTTTTGAAAGCAAGAAAAATAAACACTGTACGTACTTCATCTTCAAATAGATACGCATGCACCTTTGCTTCTTACACTGCCTACTATATAGCCAACATTTTAATCGTAATTTATAAACTCCAAACAAATTTAAAATACCAGATATAGTTTCACATTCTGGCTCACCTGTGAGGTACACGGCTAAGAAGTAGAAAACCAAAGCTTGCAAGTTTAAACCGAAATGTTAATAAGAATAACACGTACAATAAATGCCCACCCCCCCACAACTTTCAGAAACAACAAATAAATTAGTGAAACGTCTACTAAATCTTACATTATCATCTCCCCGCGGGGATCAATAAAAATTATCACTGCATTACAATTCTTACCCACTTAGGACAAATTTGTGTAGCTGATTAACATTTTTAATCTCGCAAAGTTGATGTAACAAATATTAAGTCAATAGGTTTACAGCAACACAATAAGTATAAGTTTGCACATTCATACATTTCTCTAACTGCAATAACTTCGAAAGATTTTTAAGTACCCATTTGCGTCTTCAGCGTCGCGACTGAACAGAAGCAATTGTCCTTTGCTCACGTCGAAACCCGACTTTACCTCAGAAAACCTCCAGAAAGCACAACAATTTGTCAATAATTTATACGCTTAACTAAAATTTTGTTTTTAAATGAAAACACAGGCTGGCTCCTATTGTATTAAGCAGAGGGGGCAGTTCCAGCGCAGCGCCGCTCACAAGAACCGTTAACGGTCGCATTTTAAACATTGGCGCTCGCGAAGCGGTCGCGTTCTGGGACGTGACGGAACGTCCCGTTTTATTTCTGCGCCGAATTTCTTAAACAAGCACCAAAAATGATATTTTCTGTTCAAATCTCAACAAAGAATATCTCTGCGACGATCAAATGTGCAGTCACCTGATATAAATAAATTACCGCCATTTTGCTCACTTTTTCATTTTGTTACTCTTCAGTCAGGAATCTTGGAAGTTGGAGTATTTAATTTAAAATGGATTTTTTAAAATAATGCGATCCTCGAACAATGGTGACAACGCCAATGCAACTGGACAGTATGCTAGTCATCTCATGGTGAACTGCGCCAAACGGACACATTATAGTCGGCACACTTCATTTGTAGTTCCGCGTTTTTTCGATTATATTCGCAGCTGAATACACTCCAGATTATATGTCAGTACCAGTTTCAAGGCCTACTCGCTATTCAGATTCTGGATCCAAAGCTTTTCACAAAAATGTTTTTTTTTTGGCCGCCTTAAAATAACCGAGGCTAATATTAAGGAAAATATTTCTTAATTACAACGATAGAAAGTTGTACCCATTACACGTTTATAATCACCTTATGTGCAGTTCATTCTTAATTTGAATATAAAAAGGAAACATTTGAAATTACATACGCGCAGATGGGGCATGTACGCAATCGACCATGTGCGCAGAAATTTCCCTGTAGGAGAACTCTGTCAAACTTTTTCTATATGAGATAGAAATTTATCCGGGAGTATACAGCGTAATGCCCCCCCCCCCCCCTTAAGTTCCAGTTTTACACATTTGTTTATTTATTCACTTATAAGACCGATTTAGGTTCAACGGACAAATACATTGTAGTCTCCAGCCTTGGTGTTTATCCAGTTGACCTTGCTAAGGTCTGTTATACCCAATGCGCACATATTTAATAGTCATTCATAAGGCTCCCCTCCACTACTAGCCTATAGGCCTATAAGTTTTTCTTTTAACAAAAAAAAACTTAAAATGAATAGCGGCTAATTTATATAATTAATTCTTTACTACTTAGAACACAAAACAATAAAGCCTCAAATATGTCTTATATTGATGTAGGGGGTGTTTTCTTTGGGAAACAGATGAAAATAATTGCCATGAGCAAAACTCCACAAACCGTCATTTTCTCTTTTGGTGTAACCAACAGAGGGTGCCAAAACTCGTAACACTGCTGAACGCTATAAATATGGATTACGAAGGTTAAACGTATTATTTATTCAACTAACATTTAATTCATTTTTATTTTGTTTTGTGTTTTGTAATTTTGAATCCAAAATACATACAGTAAGTGAGTAACTTACTGACACTTGTATAAACAGTTTCAACGTTTTTTTTGTTTATCGTTATAAATATGCATGTATGCAGTCAATTACAAACCAACTTATTTTCGTGTATATTATATTTCACTTCGCTATTTTATTAAACATAAAGCAAGCACGTACATGTGAAACTCCAATAACGGGACAACCATGACGCACTGTAAGAATTTATGCAAAAACATTCATAGGCCTATAAGAAACTTTATATAACATGTTCATTTTAGCACGAATATGCAGTTGAGAAGAAATGTGCTTGGAATATAGTTTTTTTTTCTTTCCAAAGTATTTAACAGGAACAATGTATCGTCAAGAATTACATTTTACCAGATTTTTGAAAACTTTCTTTTACCTTAATCTTTTAGAAGAGTAGTTCAGCTCTACATTTTTTTTACACGAGACTGTGAACGATGTCGTATAACAAGAAATGGTGGTTATTTTTTTATGAAGTTTTTTTTCCATCCATAAAATGTGCATACAGTAAAATAAACTGTGGCTGAACTAATATTTCCAAATAAATGAAATTGTAAATGCCAACAAGTCTCTATGACAAACAACTAGCGACAGCGTAGGTTAATAGTAATACTTGAGGCGTAAAATTTAGCCAGGGCGTCATATTATAAAACAATAAGACAGAAGACAGTATAAATCAGCCACAAGGTGGCGTTTATTGCACTCTTACATTCATTCGCTCTAACTCGCACACACTGCTCACCCTGCGGGTCAGCCCGACTACCCACATCACGTACAGTGGGCCCACATAAACCACTATTTACAGCACTTGACATTAAATGCTACACGTGACATTACTTTACAACACACCGACAACACGACAGAGGACGACTACTCAAGACTATTTATATTAACGCATTACACGTAACATTACAGGACTGGCACCAGTCCAACACGTCGCGCTGCATTGTCTTGTATTCTAAGTCAACAGAAAAAAACATTCAATAACATTAGCATATGTGTTCAAGTACTTAATGTTACATAAAAACATATTTGTAACAATATATTTGTAATCTGCCTATGTGATGGTTTGCAATTTTAAACAATCAGATTTATATTGTTCAGCGACACAATTCACTCCTTCGAAAAACAGAGGGCAGCGATGTAATGCATGTTCTCCATTTTCAAAGCAGGACTGCTTAAATCACACCGGACTACCGACTGCATTACGCTGTAAGTATGTCTGTGGTGTCTATTAGTATTTCTTCAGAGGCAACGAAAAGTTGTTACATTTTACGTAAAGTACATAGATGAATTTTTATCTTTCCCTGTTTTTTTCAGTTGTGGTGCGTTAAAGAGATGCTTTTACCACTGCAGATGAAACTATTTAGTTTTATTCAGCAGACTATAGTAAATTCTTCAAACATAAAACAACACTATTAATTTAAGTCCTTAAATGCCAAAAGAATCTCACGCACAGGGCTGGTCAATCCTGTAGGCCAGTGTTTCTCAAACCAGTCCTCGGCGATCTCCAGATGGTCTACATATTTGCTCTCTCCCAGTTCCCTGGGAGTTGAGAGGGGACCAAAAAGTGCACTTTCTGGGGGCCCCAGATGACTGGTTTGACAAACACTGTTATAAGCCACATAGGCTTCTGATGGGGTGCCGACTTTCACATTTCCTTGGATGGGGGGGGGGGGCACCGCTGGTGTTGCCTGCCTAGGGCGCCATATCGGCTACGACTAGCACTGCAGTCACACAGATATTCAAACAGTACTCAACTGTACTCAAACAGTTATTTAAATGGTGATTTTACATTAATAAACAAAATACGGCAATAATAATATGTATTCAATCATTAAAATATAAATTTTACACAGTAGCAGTAAGTGTTATGACAGGGCATGGTGAAGGTGGAAGAAGGTGAGGATCCATGGAGCGGCTCTGAGAACAAAGGGGATTATTAAACAAACTGAAGACACCAGGGAACGGTGCAAAACAAAGGGACCATGAGGGGTCATAAGCAAACAGGAAAAATAAAAACAAACTAAAGAAACCATGAACTGGCGACCTTGTGATTACAGGCACAGCCCACTGAGCCACATGCTGCCAACAAGGACACACACAGACAACAAGGATTAACAAAGGGCAGGACTATAACCAAATTAACTAATCAAAAAGGCACCGGACAACATGAAACAGGTGGAATACGATTAACGAACAGAGGAAACTATGAACGAAAAACAGTAGAGGCCCAATGGTCCAGCTTCTGAGGCTGAATGATCAACCCATTGATCTATACGGCAATCCATGGAGGAGGGAAACACACGAGGGACTTAGGATGAAGACAGAGGAGGGAACATGTTAGCCAGTGAAAACTGCTGGCCAAATGGGGACAAAGCTTTTGGGGCAGGACCAGATGGGCAGCGACCTTGACAGTAACTGCTCTTTGCTGAAAACGAACATCAAGATGTCAATTTGTCACAGTAGGAAACTATTTTTAACTGTTGAATTACTATCTGCCTGCCTTGTCATATTCAAATGTAAAAAGGTAGCTAATCAACGTAATAAACTGCTGAGGGATTTTGCCATTTATTCTATAAAACCTCATTGCGCGATTACCAAGTAAATGTGTCGGCTTGTTGCTCCCTCAATCAACTGGGCAGCAGGGGTTATGTTTCGGGCAAGTCTGCAGGGGCCAGCTGTCTGCCAGCAACACGAGCCCTGCTGCCGGCAGGAGCGCATGGAGGCCGCCATCTCCATGCCTTGGTGTGGGCTGGTACAGTATGTGTCTCATCTCCACCATATGGCCATCCACAGGACTGGACCTGGAGCCTTGGCTGGCCAGATGACGGCTGGAGGAAGCTACCAGCGATAAGATAACGGCTCGTCCTGCACTACCATCCCTCTATGCCTGCTCTCCTTTAAATTTCTCTCGGCATAACCGGTGAGTATCTGAAGTATTATTATTAGGTAGCTGAAAGGTGGAAATAAAATTGTACTTGTTTGCAAGACTCCCCGGAGCAAACTGAAATGCACTTATTTGACAACTATGAGACAAATATAAAGAGCAACAACATATTCCTGGACGAGACTGGCACTACTAAGTACCGTCAGCAGTGGAGCTTAAATTAGAGCAGTTGGCAGAATCTAGAGCTAAATGCATCATTGCTTAAGTCACCCTGCAAAGAGGGGGATGAGTCCTCACTTCCTCCATTCTCCAAATCCTTTTCTGTCCCTGTACCAGCTGATTGCCGAGTACCTGTTTGAGGTGAAGAGATGGGTACAGGTTTCAGTTTTCTGCATGCAGCATTCTAGCTGGGGACTCAAATTTCATTATCCATGATCAGATTTGCTCTTACAAGACATGTCTACACCTATGTGTATTGTATACCTACAATATTCTTCTGTCTATTGATGGAGAGATTGATATTCCCAGTTTAGTAAAATCAGCATTTCCAGCCACGATAGACTTTTTTTCCCCATGCCTGCTCACCTGGTCTATTCTCAGTCACCTCTTCCTGGCCATCACTGTACACATATGGCTCTTCTGCTCCTCTGCCCATAATTCTGTCCTCAGAAAGGCCGAGATTCTGCAGGAGGAAGTATGTGGTCATCAGGCCTTTTCCTTTGACCTGGATCTCCCCTCTCTCTGTGATTTCAAAGCCTTTATTCTCAAGCTCTCTGTGGGAATGAATGTGATCAAGTTAATATGTGAAAATTTTAATGTGCTACATCAATCACATTGGATTTTGCTTCTATATCCTCCTGAGACCCAAGGAAAAAAGTGTCCTTCAATTATAGGTTATTTGTCTTTGGAGGAAAAAGGACATCTTACAATTTAGATTTTTTCAAATGTATTTTTATTTTTAATTTCACAGCATGTCCTCTTTAGTGTACAACAGGAATAAATATGTTTCCTTACATTAGTGAAAAGCTAGATTCAAAAACAACATGTCCACTACAATGGACATAAATGAATGGGTGGGGTCTCAGGAGGATACAAATGAAATGTTAGACTTGTTATACATCTCCAAGCTGGCTGTAACATAAAGGCACCAGTACCTGTATGTGGTGGGGCTGAGGTGTATATGGTCTGGGACCCCGTGACTCTCCATGCGGGATGCTGTGTTGACTGTGTCCCCAAAAAGGCAGTAACGTGGCATCTTCTCCCCAACCACTCCGGCCAACACCGGCCCAGTGTGGAGACCCACCCTGATCTGCGAGAAACACACAACAACATAATGTTAGCTAGATGCGATCTCTACCATAATCTCAGCTTAAGAACCAAGTTATCTGAAAGGGAAACAGCTCTTAAGTCAAATGTAATTCTTGATAGATAGATAGATAGATAGATAGATATACTTTATTGATCTTGAAGCAAATTTAGGCATCCAGTGCCTAACGCATATAAAACACCACTATTCAAAAGAATAACAGGAAGAAGAATAAGGAATAATAAGACTGACAAAACTGCCAATAGTGACAATGATTAGGGATAATAATGATGAAAGAATAGTAAGAATACTAATCACTACAGAGTAACTATTTAGTGGCACAGTATTTGCAGTGGTACTGCAAGTGCAAGGGAATGTACAAGAAAGATACAGTGAATTACTGCATACTAGAAATGTAAATGTTATAATTCATTAATACTAATAATACTACAACGATATACATACTATAAATAGGACAACAAATATACTGTGAACAATGCCCCAGACTAAATGGAAATCGGAGTAGTAAACCGGACTGACCTGGATTGGGTTTGCGGTGATGGGGTTTGTCACTTCTCGGGCAGCGATACGCATACCCAAGGCAAAGTTTGCCACACGCTCAGCATGGCTGCTGGTTGGAACAGGAACCCCTCCCACCACCATGTAAGCATCTCCAATGGTTTCCACCTGTAGGGCCAGACATGTGATTCAGGCACTACACCTAATTGCGTCGAAATAAAAAGGTGGCATGGCTTTGTCATAGCTTCCTCAGGAACATGGGGTGTAAGTGAATAGAATTTATGAAAATGTGATCCTCACAAAACTACCATCCAAGCTATGGCCCAATAGTAGCATATTCCTTTATTTCAGGTGTGATGTTCAGCTGTGCTACTGAAATGGCTAATTGGAGTCTCTGATAGTCGCTACAAAGATGTATGGGATGCCTCAGTAAACCTTGGTAGCCAGGTGCTTGGCATGATACTGAAAAGCTGCTTTACCTTGTAAACATCGTGAACGTTGGTCAGTCGGTCAAACCTGGAGTACATGGAGTTGAGCATGTTGACTATCTGGATGGGCTCACAGGCTGCGCAGATGTTGGTGAAGGTCACCACATCGCTGAACAGAATTGTGCACACCTTGAACTCACCTGGGAGAGTGGAGAGCATTTGCACATGTTGCAATGTAATAAATTGAGTGCCAGGGTATGGTTGTAAAACGTATTATGTATAGAACATAATTAAATGGGACCAAAACATTGCAAGTACAAATCCTCAGATGGATCCTGCAGTTGTACTGCTGTGCAAGATATGAAAAGAAAAAATATCCAGCTATGTTAATGGTTGAAATGGAAAATTTTAAGCTATGTATTGTTTTACACAGAAGCCTAGGCAACTACATACCCCTGGGACTTATATATTTCAAAAGAAACAGTCAATAAAGAAATAGATCAGGAATCAGTTGTCAGTCCTTTCTGTACTTTAGAGGATGCCACACCTGATTCAACCTTCTTGCCTTCCTTGAGTTGGTTGGCCACATGACGGGGCAGCATGGCGTACAATAGAGTCTCCGTCTTCTTTTTCTCTACCTCCAGGTTACGGGAGAGAACCCGCAGCTCCTCCTTCTTGCGCTCCAGCTGGTTGGAGAGCTCGATCTCAGCCAGCCGCTGCTGGTTGAGCAGGATGAGGTCACGCGTCATGTCATGAGGTGCAATGTCAGAGATGTGTAGGCCTCGTTTCTCCAGCTCCTGAAGGCTGCGCAGCTTTGGTGAGCACAGGTATACCATACAGTTCAATGAAGTCATCCACACCATTTGACCTAGGATGGAAGCAGTACAGTTACTCTCATTGGCTGAGGGAGATGTATTGCATTATGACTGCCCAATAGAGATGACCAAGTAAAGCTTCATGAACCATTTGCTGTATTTTCTGAGCCCACTAGATGGTGCTCTTGGTTTACTTCGGGACATGCTTTGAGGCATTTTCTGAACAGCAAGCACCACCTAGTGGGGTCCGAAAATACAGCAAACGGTTCATGAAGCTTAATTTGGCCATCGCTACTGCCCACCACAGTACTTCAAATAAAAGGTACCATTTCTCAGACACCCTGCCATAATTTTGAGTGAATTTTAATCTTTCTGAACCAAATACGACTGAGAAGTACAATAACAAATCATAAACAGCGATATATATATGTGATGGTATATACTATGTAACTGAAAGCATGATTGGCTATTGGGGCCGACCTATCTATAAAGACACTATAGTGGCACCTCGGAGTTTGAGCATTGACTGTTGCTGAGAGGACTCTGGAAGCATCTCCCTCCTGGTCTTCAGCACAAACTGACTATTGATGAATTTCCTGATGCTCTCAATGTTGAAGGTGACCTCAGGGTGGACGATGCTGAAGTACTCATCCAGCTTGATGTCCATTGTCTGCAGTCCTGGGACGAATTTCTGGATGTTGACCCCAGTTTGTTTCACCTTGAGCTGTGTGCCACAATATGTCAGGTTTTGGTATCATGGTTTAAGTGGTTTTAACCACTTGAGGACACTGGCCAGAGAACTGCGATATACTGTATGTAGCACTGCAATCAGCTCAAATTGTTTGTCAACCATCTAAACCAGTTATCTTGGGTAATAGAGCAAATGGCAATTCACTCAGACAACATTTAGCACAAATTTGCTCCTTTGTTGCATGGCCCTGAGTGTCTGCACTCCACACTGAGGGAGGTCAGTCTGTGTCGTAGTGCAATTATACTTGGGAACCAAAAGCAGTGAATGTCTTACATTGTCATCAAAGACAATGTGGAAAGGAAAGGCATTACAGAAGGTCTGCTCCTCGATCCACAGCTTCTTTGGGTAGCAGGGGGTGAAAGAGTTCATGAGGTTGCCTGGGAAAACAATGCATGGCACTTAATTTATTTTTTGGCAGACAATTACACTGGTAGTCACATACCATATGACATAAACGTAGCATATGACATAAACCCCAACACCCAGGAAAAGTGGCAAAATCTTCAGCAAAATACATGTACAGTACATACATTTTCCTTCGATTCTCCTTCATTGAACAATGTTAGCTAACATTCATGCTGCCCCCAAATTAATCATCATGGGTTAGGTGCCCTGATGGTTCCAGTTTTCCAGTCTGCAGGGACAGTGAACTCACACACACAGTAAGGTTGGAATCGCTGTTGAACTGCAAAGACTAGTGACTCTTTGTGAAACTTCAAGTTCTTATTTTTGCATCACAGTTACTTTCTAGAAAACATTTGTATCCAATGTGACTTTGTGGCTTGATCAGGGTGTCGTAGTGGCATAGTGGTTCAGTGACAGCAGTGGTGTACAAGGCTGGTGGCTTAAACCTGACTTGCACTGCGTGTGTGGAGTTTGCAGGTTCTTCCTGTGTCACATGGGATTCCTTCTGCAGTCAAAAGAACTGATGTCTCTAAAAGTGCCTGTAATATATGATTGTGTTCTTTGTGCATGTGCTCTGTGATCCTGTGCCCCATCCTTTTGCCCTATGATGTCTGGGATAGGCTCCAGGCCCCTCCATAACTCTGACCAGGGAATATGGTTAGCGCAGTGCTTCCCAACTCGGTCCTCTGGGACCACCAGACATTCCGCATTTTTGCTCCCAGCCAGCTCTCAGTACATAGGAAGCAAAAATATGGGCTGTCTGAGGATCCCCAAGAACTGGTTTGGGAAACACTAGATCAGAGGATGTATGGATGAAGCTAATCAGGTCAAGTACTAATTAAACAAATGTATTCATGAGACTTTTGTTAGTGTTGATATATTGTTGGAGGATAAAACATATTTAAGTACATCTGGGCAAGACAACAGAAAGACCGACCTTGCCCAAACTTGACAATGCTCCTCACAATTTCCCAAGGTGCCCTTCTTCCAGGACATGGTGGTAAGGTGGCATACCTGGACTTCATCTTCACAAAGTTCTCATCCCTTTGCTTGCAGAAAAAAAAGAAACAAATGTTTTTTTGTCCTATGTGATACTATATAACAAATCGCAGTTATGAGTACTGTATAGAAAGTATATCATAAACTCTAAACTGAACTACTTATATCACAGAACCTTCAGAAGAATTACATCCAAGGGGAATCCAGAAAAATTCTGAGAGAAAAACATGAAGGACACTGTTTATGAATGTCTTTTACATGCATAAGCCTGAAGCTGCAGTGGACAGACCTCATACTTCTCACACGAGCAGTTATTAATGGGATGGAAATTGGAGGAATATTCATATTCTGTCAGTACGTATTTCATTATTTGAAGATTGAATCAACACGTGAATGTGTCAAAAGCATTTATACAGGAATGTCCAAACCACTTTGGACAAAGTTAACATGAGTGAAAAAAAACTGCCCACAAACCTTCCTGTCCTCAGTGTCAGCACTGTTGTCACTCCCAGCCAGCTGAGACCTTTTCTTTGCTTTGTTCGTCATCTGCACAACCAAGAAGACTACATGCTCTTTCTTTCCAGTGTGCTCATTCTCCTCTGATTGGTTGAGGATGGTCATGTGGACCTGGCTGTCGAAGAAATCCTTGGCTACTGCTTCTATGATGCCTGTGGAGCGTGGGAATGCATCCATGAATGCCATAATGCCGTAAGAGAGATAAAGTCCACAGATAATGAAGCCTTTCCCTGAAAGCCTAGTGTAAATCTGGTTTCCGTTCTTACGATTGACTACAGCAGCGGCTTTGAAGTGGAATAATAGCAGCAGAAATTGAGGCAGATTTATTGTTTAATTCCTTGCCTGGAACAATATGATACAGTCCCCTTCGATCTGAGTAGTAATGCAACAGCATCTTTCCATCTTCTGTCTTCTCCACCCGAAAAGAAGGGGCATTCATTTGCTAAAAGAGGGGAAAGTTTTTGGGATGCTTTTAATTTGTACTTGTTGAACAGATAGATGCCATTTTTACTAATATTTTTTAAAATAAGGCAGGATATTCAGGTTTAAACCACAGACATTATGGGCAATTTCAGACCCTGCTACATTTTTAGTCAATTTTTTTCTAATTCTTGGACTGTGAGGTAGCATAAAGCATAAATTGTATAGATAAAGATTTCTGCAGAATACTTGATGCGAATGGCAGTAAAGTTTATGAGTGGGCACACCTGTTAATCCAGGATGCATGGAAATACGCCCTCACCTCATAGGAGAGGGCCAAGTAGCTGTGAAGGGCATCCAGGTTCTCAATGAAGTCCACAAGATTGCCCCCCAAGGTACGCAGCATGGTGTCATAGCCAGACATCTTGCAGAAGCTGAAGAAGTACTCGCCGAACAGCTTGAGGACCACCTCGGAGGAAACGTCTAGATGAAATTGGTGGCATAATTAGAGAACCATATATTGCTAAGAGGTTCCATGACAACCAGTACATCTCCCCATCCCCAGTACAAATTAAATCCCGAGTCAGTACATCCCAGCTTTAAAATAATTTCAGCCATTTCACCACCCATGCACGGCTCTCTTATTTCAGTTATTTGTATATTTATACATTCTACCGAATTGTCTACTGAGAAAAGAGCGACAAACGTTAATTAAAATCTCTCCCCATGGTGGAACAACAAGGAGCATGCTGTTGACAAACCCCAATCAGAAAGCAGCATCCCTGTGGAAGGACAAATTGTGCGGATGGGACCAAGGTTCACACCTACCAATGGCCAAGAGAACCATACAACAGCTTCTGTGGTCAAATGGGTCTATGGCAGCAATGAAGACCTCATAAGGGACGCTGTTAGCACCTGCTGGAGCTCTCCAGTGCCCTGTCACTATCACAGAGGCTTTCCAATCTGACACTGACCACAAACAACATGGTCCCTTATCTACAGTGTCAGTTGGTGCAGTTGAAAATATTGACTATTCTTGGTTTGTGTTTGTTTTCATTCCATCTCAGGTGCATGTATTGTAAGACATATTTAACGTTTTCCTGCCTAAATGGTGCAACCCCATCCGTGATGTTTCAGCTGAGCTAGTTTTACCATAGTTTTCAGCTCCAACAGAATGCATGCCAGTCTGCTGACTTTAGTTACTGCTCTGCGTGTTGGAAAATCCCAGGGCTGGGACCCTAGATGAGACTCACCCAACATTCTACAGGCCTCCTGCACCAGGCGCAGGGTCAGCGTGTCATCATAAATCTCATAAGTCATAAATGATTCCTGGACCTCTGCCTTTGTCCTGGGGGGGGGGGGTGGAAAAGGGGGCAAGGGATTGGTGTGGAAAAGTACTGGCAATTTAAGACATTTGTTCCTTTGAGAAATTCCTGAAGAATAAAAATGCATCGACATAATTAATGTCTCTCCTACAGCCTCAAATCAATGCAGATAAAACAAACCAAACCTTAGTGTTTCCCATGTGTCTTCGCCAAATTTCTCAATGACTAGAGATTTCAGGCAAGTGTTTATGAATCCGTACTGCGAAGACAGACGACACAGCAGAGGACTGTGAGCACACAGAAAATGGGCTTTCCTAAATGTCGTGAATAATCATATTGTTGATAGCATGGTCAATTTAAGCCCCCTAAATCTTACTTCAAAATAGCTTCAAACACCACAACATCAGTAACACTGACGAAACAGCAAGACTTGTTTGGCACCTGATTTTCCTCTCATTAACTCTAACTGAGATGTACGCATGATTCACACACATGCAACAACTTTATAAATCTGGCTCTAAGTCTTTATCAGCAGTTTTCCACAGAGGGCATCACTTTACTTAATGGGGCACAAATGCTAAGTTACTCTGTTACTACTCAAGTACAAATTAGGAACAAATCATGAACAAATACAGTTGCTGATGAACAAACATGAGATCAGTATTTCATTTGCTTTATTCATTACTTCTCCCTTCAGTAGTTCCTTCAGTAATTCACAAAGGTTTACAGAAAAAATAGATATATGAACAAATATAGTAACTGCTTGAAATAAAACATGTCATGATTCATTAATAAGGAATTAACATTAGATCAGTATGCAACTTTGTGGTTAATTAATACATAAGTAATAGCATAATACTGTATTGTTCGTGCACAGACGTAAAGTGTTACCCCATCGAAATAAAAATGAGGAACTGATTAACAGCACATGGTTAAAGGGTGGACACAGCTGTACGTTAGTAATTTGCTGGCTCTATATCACTGCCCTGAAATGCATGCAATGAACTTCTTACCATCTTCTCAGCTGTTTGTCTCGCACGGTCCTTAGCCCACTGTGTGTTTGCCCTTCAGTGCCTGGACCAGACTGGTGACGGCTCTTCATTAAGGGATGCCTCTCATCCCATGAGGGCAGATGGCATGCTCCCTGTGCTACCTCCCTAACAAACACACACACACACACACACACACAGAAACACACACAGACACAGACAGACAGACAGACACACACACACACACAGAAACACACACAGACACAGACAGACAGACAGACAGACACACACACAGAGAAACACACACAGACACAGACAGACAGACAGACAGACACACACACACACACTCACACACAGAAACACACACAGACAAAAACAGACAGACAGACACACACACCTTCTTTGTGGGGACTCCCCATTCATTTCTATGCGGAAAATTCTTATCCAAAATGATGACCTTAACCCCTACCCAACCCTAACCATAACCATAATATAATATGAGAGTTTTGACATTTTTAGTTTTTGATCTTTGTGGTGACCTGAGAAATGGTCCCCACAACGTCAAAATAACAGGTTTTTATCACATTGTTGGTCCCCACAATGTAATATAAACATAATAACATAACCCCCCAGACACACACACACACACACACACAATATAATCTCACTGTCCCCCACACATTTTAAAAACCTCATGGAAGAAGAAAGTTTGATCATTAATTTTCTTAGTCCGGTGTGGGTCAATACCTCTGTGTTTACAGATTTCATAAGAAATAAACGGGGACATTCTGTTTGCGTCATGAAAAAAATGGTAAAACTCCAATTACGAAATCACAACATTTAAAATGTGAAAGACGGTTTCTTTTGCCACCTTGTGGTGAATATCAGACATTACTTTTTAATGTCTAATGTTTTCATATATCCAAGACTGAAAAGATGCCTAATGTGTTACAATTGCACACATATTACAATTACAGTTACAATTGCACACATATTCGAAGAGTTTTGAAGACAAACACCAATGAAGAAGCTGAAAATTTTATTGTTATTGTAGCACTTTTTTTTTTTTACCAGGATGTTTGTTTTGCATCCATGTTGCAGCCATGATCTACACACACCAGTCAGTAAATTATATACAATTAAATCATTTTAATCCAACAGTCTGTCTTGGTCAGGGCTGTGAGGGGGCTTGCTGTCTATTCCAGGTGGCGTAGAGCACAAGGCTTTAGTAAGCGCTGGACAGGATATCATCACACATACACACACACACACACACACACACACACACAGAGTTGGTGTACCTATCTAAATGGGGACTGTCCATTCATTTCTAAGGGAAACACCATAACCCCAGTCACGACACCCTTAACCTCTACTCATTCCTAACCTTAACCATAAGTAACCAACTCAAATACAAGACTTTTGGCATTTTTACTTTTTTGATTTTTATGAAACTGAGGTCATCCAAATGGGGATCTCAAAAGATGTCCCCATAAGTAGGGAAATTTCAGGTTTTACTACACTTTGGGGACAATTTGGTCCTCAAATGTGATCTATGCAAACCCACACATACACACACATACACACACACACACACACATACACACACACACAGACACACACACACACACACACAGACACACACACACACACAGACACACACACACACACAGACACACAGACACACACACACACAGACACACACACACACACACAGACACACACACACACACACACAGACACACACAGCAGGTGGGACTGAAGCACCCATCCCTGGTGGAATCACTATTACCAACTGGACCACCATACTGGCCATTAAATATGCCAATATACAGTATATATATATATAAATCAAGCTGTAACAATGTGACCAGTTCTGAGTCCCACAACACAGAAGCCTGCCATATAAGTGCAGCACCAAACCTCATGATCAGATCATTGTCAGATCCATGCACTGAACACTTGGCTTTTATCAGCTGTCATTAGTGACAGGTAATGCATGTCTATGGCAATTTACTCTGAGAAACGGTGAGGCCTCTGAACCTGGCTGTCCTCCTCACTGAGGTCCACAGCAACACAACCCATAGCAGAAATGCTGCCTGTTCAGCTGCTGCAGATGTAGCCACTGTCAGTGTGGGATTAAGATGCTCCAAGAACAAATAAAACCTCCAGCCCAAATATTGGTTTTCTCAAGGCTTAAGCTGTTTTTAAATTAAAATATCTTTGATTTATTGTGAATAATTTTATCTAAAGCAACTCCGATAGCTCAAAACTTAACAGACTTACAGTATACGGCTAGCTGTTTTATGACTGAGGTTAATTATCTCAGGTCCACATCGGCAGAGACTTAGACACATTAATCTCAACACTTCCTTCTGCCTGAACAGATCATCCCTTCACTGTGACATCATGGCTGCCACGTGTTTCTGCTGAGTGTCTTACTCGTCTCTTTGGTAAACAGAACGGCTGGAGTCACCCATGGCTCAGGAAGCAACCATGACAGACGGGCTGAGGATCAGATACACCGGAGCTCCAGAGATGTCTGGATTATTCATGAGTGTGTCGGGGGGAGCCGGTCCTCGAGCGAAGGCCCAGGAGACAGCTGCAGGACGGGCCAGAAAATCCCGCTGTCTCAGGCCTGAGCATTTCCAGACAATCAGGTATGCGTAACAACACACTGTGTGTTTGCTTAATTTAAGTCAACTGATCGTGTCATTCCAAAAGAAAACTATGAGTTGAATTAAAAAAATAGAATTATCCCTGCCTTAATTCACTGCAGTACAATTTTTTTAATCAGTATCCTTTTTTAATGCACTCTGCATTCCTTTAGAGACTGGTACAAAATTTATTAGAAAGTCTACCACTTATAATCACAATGTTACAACAAGAACGGCAGTCTTCATGAGTTCAGCGAGATGAGTGTCTGGGAAGCCATGACTCCGGCACTAGACTGGTCTTGGTTTCCTTCTGCAGAGGTTCTCTTGCATACTTGATGAGGAGCATAGCTATGGAGCAGCATCTGGCCACTCTAGTCCTTCTTCTTCAGCTTGGGCTTGAAGCGCATTGTCTGAAAGGCGCTCTCAACCACCTTCGGCAGGTGGATGGGGTTCCTCTGAAGGTGTCTACGAGTACCCAGAGTCCCACCCAGCCCTCGTCCTCTGGCCTCATGTTCGCTCCCCTCCTCCCGCTGCTTCAGCCTGCTCTCGTCCGTGGAGAACCTCCGGGGGTCATGCAGTGTCCAGTTGGAGTGGATGTCATGCTCGCTAGTGCTGGTGGCAACTGGACCGTGGGGAAGCAGATGAAAAAGAGTACTGGAATGCAGCTGTCCACCTCCTGACATGCAGACATCACCACACTCAGTAACATTATCTTATCATCCCCAGGTCCAAGTTTAAGACCAGGGGTGACAGAGCTTTTGCTGTTGTTGCCCCAAGGCTGTAGAACAGTGTTCCTATGCACATTAGATCAACCTGCAGTGTGGACATTTTCAGACAGCATTTGAAAACTATTATAAAAACTACTATATACTTTTGATGTTTGAATATGTTATTTCCTGTGAAGCACTTTGTGACTCATATTCTAGAGTGGTTTCAAAACGGATCACTTTATGTTCTTCATAAACCAAAAACAGGTGAATGTTCTCTCATTTGGATCAAGGATCTTAGGTGACAGAAAGTGGGACCTACCAATAAAGTCAACATCAGCGTTGCCATCATCTATATGCGGTTTAGGCTTCGGTTCTGGGTCACAGCTTGCAATGACAGAATCAAAGTACTGCAGGGCGTCCGTCTCACTGGGGGTGGCTGGTGCCCTGCCTTTTGTTCTTGTCGTCTGCGGACCAGGGGACAGCTGCCACATACTACAATCCCCCTTCACCCAGGCTGGATCAGTGCTGCTCCTTTGTTAATGTTTTTAGCTGAGGTACCAAGCTATGACCACTGGATAATTGAAACTTTTACAATTAAGCGTGTTCAACGTATTTACTGGCATGTCTAATGGTCAAACCCAACACACGTGTACATTTAAAGGCCGGTACTCACCACCGATGATACCTGCGTGTCGTTTGCGGTAGGCGGAGGTGGGGGAGGCTGCTTCTTCTGCAAGACAGTGGTTTTCTTCTCGTTGCTCCTCAGGTTGTTAACGCAGTTCGTGTACTGTCTCCTTAAAGCAACCAGGTCCTCCAAATACTGCAGACACCCCTGATTCTGACAGTGCAACCAAATGCGGTCCTCTTGTCTCTGGTAGTAGCACAGCGCCGTGCTTGACTCTACAGACAGTGTGCTTTTGCTGCGTTTCAAGGTGGAATCCGCCGTTCTCTGCCGACTTCCTCCCACTATGAGCATGGAGGTACTGCGCACCAACTTCACCGTGCAGGCGGTGTGGTAATCCTTGGATCTGAGACCATCCTCACTTTTTCGTTCATGGTTCGGGCGGAAAACGGCATTGATCCTTTTGAACATAACTCCGATCTGAGCGATTGCATTTCACATATAATTATAAATGCATAACTGGCTCCTAGATGAACAAACAATTGAACGCATATATACCAACGCCTTTACCTACTATTACAAGCTGAAATCCTTCACGTCTCTCCATGGCGCTGAATAAAAGTCATCTGGTCCTGTTAAGAGAGTCCCCTGTAATATGCACTTCCACCAACTCAGAACCTCTTTCCAAACAATCTAGAGATTGTTCTATGGCAACACAGTGCGGAAATCCTATATGCCTAAGCGTCATTACTATTGATGAGAGCTCCATCTCAGGTGTCTGGTCAGGCCTAACAGACTTACTACTACAGCACTCTGTGGATATAAGCTGACTTCATTGAAAAATATCCATTTTAAGATGTTGAAACTTTCTCAGAGTATGTCCTTGCAGTGGATGCTTGTTGAGTAAATAAAACGTCAGTCAGTAAATTATAACCATCAGACTTTGATCCACACTGTAGCAATTGCTAAACTTTTATTCAAACAGCAGCAAGTACAGGAGAAAAAATGCACCAGATGTCTATTGAGCCAAGGTGGATTTGTTGAGGTAGCAAAGCCAGCTGGTGTATTAGGTGATTGACAAGTTCACCGTAAGTGACCACTGACTGCCATATGTCACCCACATGCATGGTGGGTAGGTTGGGTATGACTCATACTTTTTACTCTTGTGAAAGCATGAAGTCTCAGGTAATGTGTAAAACATGCGCTAACCTGACTTTTGCCACGGATTTCTTGTATGCAGGTATATCAACAAAAAAATGAACATAAAAAAACAGCCAGGTCCCTCACTTTGGTCTGACAGAAGTCCAATGTAGAGATATCCCACTGAACTCAATATTTATGACAAAAAGCAAAAGATTTTTCTCATCTTTCACTCCTGCAGCTTAAATTTATAGGACCAAAATGGCAGCTCATAAGTCCAGAGACTGCACATTTCTGTGGTAGAATTCTAGTTTAAGAGTTGTGTGACAGCTGTACCTGTTAAATGCAAAGGAATTGCACAACCCTGATTCAATCACACACAGTCCTCCTACAGTGATAATGAATAACACTGGTGCAGTTAAGTAGTTTTCAGCCAAGCAGACATAGAATAACAGAGTTTAAAGTCCAGGGAATGCAGTGGTGTAGCTGGCCATTGCTGTATAAAAGACAATATTATTTGTGTACAGGCCACATAAAGACAACGGCCAATCAGTCACAAAATCATAAGGTTGACTTACTGTTCTTGCAGCATGACATTAGACCTTCATGCAAGAACTGTACTCCAAAGTATAAGACATACAGCAGAAAATACCGTTCTGCTTTGCAACAAGACTTGGACAAATTTCAGTCATAATTATGCCTGAAAAGGAAGTGAAATTTGACTTGAAACACGGATGTAAATCCCCTTTGTTTTATATGACAGAAATAGACTGAAGTTGTTAGTAAGCAGGAACATACAATACATTCTGATGAGAAAAATATTTCACCCACAATAAATTTTTTCTATAACTTAAAACGTCCAGTTATTTTCTCAAGCCAAGTTTTCCTTTTATTTAGACGGGGCTTCAGCGGTTTAAACGGTTTGCTCTCCTATAAACATGCAGTAACTGCGGTTCGGTCAGTGATGGCCGTAGTGGAATTAAGACTGATGCTGTCCTTCGCCGGTTGTGTCTCACGTTGTTGCACTTGAGGGAAAAAATAGTCATACTGTTTAAGTTTCGCTTTGTCTTTTAGGCTTCAGTAAACTTGCTTCAACTTTTCAGCTCCCCAACTGTGATACAGCTTGAGCGTTTCCGCGTAAACTGCTCGCATATTCCGTGCAAATTTGTATGTTTTTATAAGCTCAGAAACTAGAGGAAAATTTGGGTTCTACACGGCTAGATGTGGGCAGCGACTGTAAAAAATCCAGAATTAATAAATAAAACACAGTTTTAGTTTATTATTATTCAGAAAGGTATGCACGATATACTAAAAACTACTCTATAACTTGGAAGCAAAAACACTGTCTGAAAAGAGCGCCAGTTTAGCGTGCAACTAAATAAAAAAAAACAAGATAAGCTTAAGATACGCAAAGTAAAATTTTAACCAATTATAATTATACCGGGTAGCATTAACCTGAAAGCATGGTGTAGTATACAAAACCGAAAGGCAAACGTTGAGAAGTGTGTGTGTGTGTGTGTGTGTCTGTGTGTGGGGGGGGTTGCTTTATTTCTTGTGTCTCACTTCCTTATACACAAGAGCACAAGGTGATCTGAGGTGGGAGTCCTGCTCGTCCTCTTACATACGCAGCCTGCGGCCATATAAGTGAAGGTGAGCGATCTTAGTGCTGCGGTTTTAACTGGCGATATTCAGCCGGACAGTACGGCATTATTATACTGCTAAGTAGTTCTTTTTAGTGCAGAAAATGTTTGTATAGTTCCATGTTTGAGGCTTTAACTGTAATACATTACTGCAGATTCCGTTATAGATATCCGGTGTGATATAAGAAAACGGATTTGTTTGTAATTTATAGATGTAATATCATTATTCGTGTTACGGAGCGCTGTTTAATCAATGTTTTGATTTTGAGATGATAAATGTAGGGTTTTTTTTTATTTACAGACTTATTGTTTTAATTACAATGTGTTGCACTCAGGACAGTTTTAAATCATACAAGACGGCGTTTCCTCATGTCACGCTCCCGACGGTTAATGGGCGGTTGCTTCATCGAGGTCACTGAAGCTTCCGCCTGCCCTCATTCATACACTTACACAATCCCAACACTGAGACCCCTACCCAGCCCTAACCCTACCCATGAGTAACCACATTGACGGTGCATCAATAATATGCCGTCAGCTGACGGCTCGGCAGTTCGTTAAATCGACACATATTTTCGACGGTTTACTGCGCGTGGACCTGATCTGCCTTGGCTTTCATCGGGTTTGCGATGTGTGTGCTCTTCTGCAGGGATGTTCTGTGAGAGCATACTATGGAGAATGACTTACTCGCAAGACTGGGAGTGCGGAGACGCACCGTCCGTCCTCCCTGACCACTGGCAGCATAGGAGGATGCCTGCGGAGATGCTGGCTCCCTCTAGCTTTCCATCACAGCCTTCCAGTACCCATATGCAAGCGGAGTCGTCCCCAGAACTGAGGAGGCGTGGTCCCGGAGGCTGTAACGGACAGTGGCCCTCAAGGAAGGATTGGCACTGGACCCCAGTCCAGGCAGATACTGCTCCACCCTGGAGAAACTTCTCCTCCGGCGTAGACATCCCTAGTCCAGCCAAATCTGCTGGAGAGGCGTTCCTGGTGCCCTCGTCATGTCAGAGCATCTGCGAGAACTACAGTGATCTGCACATTGGTGGTGATCAGGTACTTCCTCTCAGTGCCAGCACAGGTGACCTGGCAGCGGGAGGTAGTGTTGATCTGGCTGACGGTCCCTTCCTTCAGTCATGCGAGATCCCCCCGGCGCTGGAATCCTCACCGCAGCCCTCGCTGGAGTACCCCCCGCGACCCCTACAGCGCTCCTCCGCCTTAAGGAAGAGCAGCACCAAGGAACGCAGCCTTCTCCTGCAGGGCAGCCAGCCCCTCTCCAACTCACAGCTGAACCGTTACCTGGAGCAGAAACTGCTGGACTTGTACCAGCAGCACATGGTAGAGAGCATGGTGCGGGGGGGCTCGCCCACCACAATCCTGGCCTCTCAACATGTCCTCACCAGCGTGGACCAGATCACCCAACAGCTGTCTCGCGAACAGAACCTGGAGACCGCCAAGGCCAAGGACATGGTTCTCAGCTGTCTGTTGAGGGTGGCCAGTGGTCTAGTGTCCAGTGAGATCAGTACACCACAGCTGCAGATCTCTGCAGATGCTGCAGTAATGTAATGGGCAGCACAACTCTGGTGACCCTGGGTCAAGGGGCAATCCTGCTTTCCTCTCAGATAGATTCACCTTGGTTTTTAGCATGATTTTTTTGCAGGGTGAATCACCTGACTCTGGAAGAAGCTCACTGCCAATTAAAATGTATTTTGACATTAGTGGGTGATCTGCCCTCTGTGACTGCAGTGTCCTGAGAATGAACAGGGGAACAGCTCTGATTTAAGGGAAAATGTAAACAGATATGGCAGAAGACTATAAATGTGGTTTAAATGTGATGTTATGGAGAGCAATGAACGCCTGGAAAAAAGGTAGTCCTGTAGCAGTGGACCACATGGCTAGATTGTAAAAACAACGTACTTTCCATTTAAAACCAAACTAAGCCTGCTCAAGTTTTGGTTCTCCTTTTGCTTGGCTGTTTCATTTCTGTGGTAACCGCCGCTGCGTGTGTTACGTTATTTTCTCAGTTCTTTTTTAAGGGGTTATTGGAAGGTTTAATGAAAATTAATGAACTTTTCATTTACCATGGTTTCCCTTAATTGCTACTTTCCTAGTTCTATAACAGTAAATCAACGTAAAATGCTCATGACAAATAAAATTAAGCAATGAATCAGTACAATCACCCTCAGCAGTCCTCCCCTCCTTAGGTGCAAAAAATAAATCTTTCAGTTCTTTCATCTTTCACTTCCTTATTGTAAAAATAAATTCTATAAACGCACTTTAATGACCGAATCTGTTAGGCCACATAACATCTGTCACCTAACTCATTCTCTATATGGGCACCCATATCACCACACTGTCTAATGCTTATTATTAATCATCATTTTTAATTATTTTGTATTTTCAAATCAATTATACTTTTTGATAAATATAAATGACACTCTTTTACAAATATTATGTTTTATTTTTTTTTCTCAGTGAGGAGAAATTATACTTTTGAACAAACAGTAGTTTCATTAGTTCCAGTTTTGCAAATGCGGAAGTGTAAATTGCACTGTCACTTCGAATAGGATATAGATACAGAAAGAGCGGCAAGTTTAGAGCCTACTCATTTTATTTTGCTCTTTACCATAATAATTATTTTCACTTTTTATTCTAACCAAGCCAGTATTTGCAGGTATAAAATATGTGTGAAATTATATGTGAAATTATTGTATGTGTATGTACATTGTATTGTATGTGTGTGTGTGTGTGGGTATATATATAAACATTTGAGAGTCTCAGTATAAGCAATGGCTGTTTTTCCTGACTGAATTTACATCTTAAGGATGTGTTTCTCAAAACAGTCCTTGGGGGCCCCCAGTCAGTCCATGTCCGTTGCCTAGTGAGGAGCTGGGAGGGACAATCTTTCTTTGACAAATATTCCCATAGCTAGTTTCATTGTTATAGCAAGGTTCAAGTAAATGATTTAAGAAAGAAAAAGAAACTCATACACGTTTTCGCATGGAAGCCTTAGGTCTTTTCAGTATATTGCGAGGAACATGCTGCCCTCCAGTGGGAGAATCAGCACACTGCAGGCGCAAGAAACCAGCGCCAGACATTCAGGTCTGTCTCAGACCGTGTTGTGAAGAAAACATGCTGGAGGCAATGCAAACGTGGGCAGCTCCACAGCCTGTGCCCTAATATTGGGGCCTCACTAATTATATACCAAAGAAACTAGCTAATGAACTGCACAAAATCAATCAATATATTCCCAAATGGTTATTGATTCTAAGGCTTATATTTTATGGAAACATAATTATAGAGATGGATCATTAAAAAGGAACTGAGGACACAGGGGGAGCCCAAATGGAAAGGGGGGGGGAGGGGTTGCATACTAACTCTGGATGGCTGGAACAAAGCTTTTCAAGCACTCCTCTGTCCTTGGGAGCTGCTGAGCCCTTTGCTTCGTGCTTGCTGGCCTTGTATATACGCTAATTACAGAGGATTATTACTGAATGTCACCACTGAATTTCACCAGCACCTGTAGATCAGAGACTTGCATTTATATATGCTAAGGCCTTTGTGCTGAATAAAATCACCTCAAACCTAACTCAAGGTCTTGATTCTTGTGTGTTTCGCTCCTGATCAAGGCCGATTACTGTGCCAAAGGGGTCCACTGTAAAACAAACTCCATCTTGTGCCATCCCAGCACCTCTGTTGGACCACTGCAGCAACAACTGCAATGCCTCACTCCTCACCTCTGCTGGACCACTGCAGCAACAACTGCAATGCCTCACTCCTCACCTCTGTTGGACCACTGCAGCAACAACTGCAATGCCTCACTCCTCAGTTTGGCAACTTTTCACATCCAGTTTTGGTGAGCTAGAATCAGACCAGATACACTTTCATGATGAATTTATGTTACCTGCATAATAATGAAATATTCCAATGTATCATCAAAAATTTAATGGAAAAATCACCAATTTCTCAGTCATATTCTAGGGCTAAAATTTAAAAGTCAATTTATCTGTGCTGGAAGTGTAATAGAAAATATATATGGTTGTCATGGAGTGTTTTGGGCACCATAGTTGTAGGTGAGATTCAGAATCATCAGTTATTTTGTTGCAACATTAATCTTGGCTTGCCAGCACAACTGTCAAACAGCCCTTGGTCTTTAACAGATGTTTTGAGTCAGTAGAACAAACAAACAAACAAAACAAAGAGTATTACTGAAATGCCCATGCACAAAATGTGTGCATATCAATCAATATTCTTTTTCCTTACAAATTAAATTAAGCAAAATCTTGTGGTTATTTGTTTGGCAATATTGGACTTAAGACATTCTTCTTCGTCTTGTTTATTCTATATCTCAAATGATCCAAATAGAGACAGATAGAGGCCTCAGAGAAGAAAGTTAGAGCAGTGGGGAATAAGTCCAAGGACAAACGGAAAACAATTGAGTCAAAAACAACTTCAGCTCCTCAATACCTAGCAACAGAAGGCAGTCATCAACAGAACACATAAGTGTCTTTTATGGGTTCATAAAGTAATTTCCCTGGTACCAAATGCCATTAACGGAAAGGTTGAAAGAGGCAAGGACAAAACACCTCAAGTCAGCCTAGTAGACACTGGATATTGTACTTTCTCTCTCCCCCTCCCCACCTCACCATCAAATCGATGTCAGGTCCTTAGTGACTCAACGTATTTTCCAGCAAGGCCTAAACCTTCCTTTTAAAAAAGATTTTCCAGTTCATTTCTGTGTGTTTTGTGACCCTCAAGGCTGCTCAGCTTTTATCAGCTTGTGTTTATTTCTGCATCAGTAGCATTCAGGCGAAGCTCTTAAACTGCATCTGCGACATCAGTAAAGTTCAGGTGAAAGCGTAAGGGGGGGGGTGGCAGAATATGTGAGATAGACAGAGGTCTAACGAGACTCCGCCCACCAACATCCATACTTTCCTGCAGTCAACTGATCATCATGACCTTGTCATCCCTATAGGCCAGCCTCCTCCTCATGGTCTGCTTCACAGTAAATAATCTCAGGCATGTCAAGTATTCAGCTTCAGTGCCAGTCCATCATGGCCACTGTACACGCCTGAAACACTAAGAGCGCTCGTACTAAGCACTGGGAACCTCCACTAGTTTTAGAGCTTCACTGGAGGTCCATTATCCCTTACTTACATTATTTGTGGCTCCGCCCACCCTACCTAAAAGTTTTATACGCTGTCAGAGTACCAATTTGTACTCTTGCTTGACGATGGGGCTGCAACCCTCAAAGGTCTGCCAATTATCTGTACATAGTTGTACCTTTGAAGATACAGAAACGGACTATGAGGAACATTTTTGTATAACTGGAGTACATTAATGTTGGTTGTACTACCTATAGCTATGGTACAATTGGCAAACCCCCGAGGGTACAGTCCCAGTGACAAGCAACGCTCTCTTTTTTTTTGACAGTGTGGGGACCACATGCACGTGAACACGCAAAACCAAATGGCGATATGTGGAAGCATATACCAGACTCCAGGAGAGCAGTCGGGGTGGGGGCGGAGGGACGAAGGACTCCTTGATGTCTGTGCCCTGCTTTCCGAAGGTCTGGTTTTATAATACCCTTCTCTTCTTTCTCCTTGAATGTGAAAAGATGTATCCGGACTCATCCAGGTACATGCACAAGCTGCAAGGACGTGCCGTTTAATTGCACATTCATTTGCATCCTAGTTCCGTGGGTTTTATGGAGGCCTTGAGCGAGACGGGTGTTTGTAATCATGTCGGCGAGAGACACGGCAGCGGGGCCTGAGAGCCCCGGCATGCTATGACGGACGAATCGACATTGAGGGACAGGGGAACAAAACGCCCCCGTTCAGTCGGCGAGAGCCTCAGGGCCCAGCGCCACTCCTTCACCCAGCCACCTACCAGGTGACCTTGCTCACAGAACCTATAGATGACGATCCCGAGTCTTGCTCTCCTGCAATTCTTGAAGTCCGGCCACCGAAACACCGGGTCCAGTGCTAATTAATAAGCCTGCACATTTTAACCCCCAATGTGACTGATGGCCAAACGATGCAGAAGCACAAACAGCCGGTTGGCGGTAAAGCACACCTGCGACGGACACCAAGGCCGCTGTCCATTTGACTTGTAAAAAATGTATCTTTTCACTTCTCCGTGACCACTACAAATATTTTACTGGCATTTCCCAGCAGTCAATAAAAACACGTCACGGCTTAAATTAGCATTTATTTCATATTTCTTTTCTTTCAAAGTCAGGAAGTACCAGGAACCATTACTGTGGGAATATAGTGTGTGTTTAGGGGGGCGGGAGGGTTTGGGGCTGATTTGTTCCCTACCAATGTTGAAACCAAACCTACGCCCTTGTTTGGGGGGTTGTGTGATGTAAAATATGTCGTTAAGGGCAATAACTGACAGGAGTCCATCGGATCCCATGGCCGTTTTTGTCAAGACAATGCTATAGATCCATAACTTAGTTCTTTTAAGTAAACATGACCCTAGACTCTCGACTTGCGAAGGCAATATATTCACACTGCATTTTATAAAAAGCTAATAAACAGGACATAAATTAAAGTGATATTCCATTTAATTTTCCAATGAGTGCCCAGGTTCACCCATCGTCTCAAAAGCAACTTCACGGGACATAAATTGGCACGGGGAATTGACAGCACACACAGCAACAGGTGTTTCCTCCATCATTTTTATGGGACGGGCAGATTTCTCATTGTGCGTTGATGCTACACCTGCCGGAACACGTCCACTTAACAGGAAAGCATCCTCTGCTCTCTTCACAGTCTGCGTCACCATGTTGGGGGTGGGTGGGTGGGTGGGGGGGAATTAAGCACTTGTGCCTAATTTTGAAGGGTGCTCTCAACAGGCCATAAAGCAATGTAAGGTCACGTCATGACTCACCAGCTCGGCCTTCGCAAAATTCACCTCTGTGATCCGTCACTCGGGGCGCCTCTTAATTATGGAGTGTTGTGTGGCAAGGACAGGGCTTTGCTGGCTTTGTCGCGGTATTCTGAGACACCGCTACTCTGAGTTCACCTATTGTCCAAACGCTTCCAGGAGACACCCCTAAAAATGCAGTTGTTTTCAATGTGCTCTCAATGGGGTTACAAACATACAGACACAGACAATCAGGGCCTAAATGACCTAATTCACAGAGCAGGAAAGACGGGGCTTGCCACTGTGAAAGCAACACTGAGGTCTATTTAAGGAACACTGACAGAAGGGCCAAGCCACACAGAAAAGTAGTATGTATGATGTAATGTCAGGCTGTTGATCAAGCAGCTGCTAGCTCTCATGACCAATCAGATACAGTTTTAGACTCAAGCAAGAAAAAAAAAACTTCTGAACAAGTAGGGTATATTACAATCAATCAGCAAGTGACCATGATTAAAATAACTGTGAAAATGCCACAAGTTAGTACATGTCGAATTTTGCCGAAACACACTTTCCCCGAGTTCTCAGATTTGTAGAAAATGACCAGGAAGTGTTCTGGCCACAGAGAAATGACCGGGCAGTGAAGAGAGGCATAATGGGAAAATGAAACTTGGATGCAGGCACCAGTCTCTTTACTGGTTATTTTAGTTTTCCACAGAAATTAAATGGTGCTGCAGTGGAGAACGGTGAGGGTGTCGGTACCTGGGTCCTGTCAGCATTGTCCTGCCCCGATCGTCAGCTACTTCTGTGTGCCACGCCCCCTCATTAACCTCATGTGGAATCCCTGTGTGATCAGCTGTTTCTTGTTGCTGTCATTAGTTCAATGTATTTAAGTCTGCGTTAGGTATGTTTTCCCCAGTCCGGTCATTAACGTCTGTTCTGTTTCTAGTGTATCGTGTTCTTTGTTTTACAATTAAACTCCTTTGTTTGCCCGACTTCCTGGCTCTGACTGCTGCTTCCTCGCTCCGTGCTCCAGCATAGTCGCAACAAGCATAACCTGGGGATTTATGACCATCCTCCCTCCCTTTTCTCCCCCCCCCCAGGACTAAGAGGAGCTGAGAAAGACTATGGCTCAGGATGTGGCCGACCTTCTGCTCAGGGTCAGCTGTGAAAGGGCCACTCTGTCATTCAAAATCACCACACGTCAGCAACAGTGAAAGTGGTGACCTCACGAACGTAACGGGAAAAAAATGATATACCATAAGGGGGTGGGAAGCATTTTAAGAAAATAGACGGATGGGTGATGGGTGGATCAATTTTTTTTGCAAAATCCATCCATCCTTCCTCCACACCCGCTAGTCTTAGGCAGGGTCATAGAGGTCTCGAGCCTATCCTGGAAGGTACAAGGATAAAGTAGGGAACAAAACAGGATGGGGTGACAATTTTGCAACTCCAATTCACCACAGCATGTTTTTGGACTGTAGGAGGAAGCCAAAGAACCCAAAGGAAACCTCACAATGGCATGGGGAGACCGTGAAAACTCACAGTATCGGGGCGGAGACTCAAGCCCTTGCATCTACACTCTAAACCCAAATTAGTTGACTTTACAAGAAAATCACGTGGAAACCCGTTGCCTTAACCCGTTCAAGTTATCCCTGATGAGAATGAGACGATTGTGAAGATTTTTTGTTGTTTTATCCAACTTAAAAACATGAGCAAATACCAAAACAACATCTTTCCTGCTTTGGCAAGCAAGGTCAGTACAGGACTTTCATGCTCAATGAGGAGGATCCCAAAGTCAATGTGGTTGTCATCATCAGAATCCTTATTAAAATAAACATAAGAGCACAATGATGATATTTCACATAAAATAACCCATCAACAATGCAAAGTAATGTAGCACAGTCAGTGAGACAGACAAGCGATGAAAGGTGTGGACTGGTTATCACAGAAACTAGATGGACCAGTGGATTGTCCTACTGATAAGTAGAACAGTATCTTACTCTTTTACTTGTATACAACTATGCTCACAGGGTTTATCAAAAAAAAAAAAAAACTAATAATGGCAAAAATGAAAGATTTGGTCCCTTTAGATCAGGGTTCTTCAACTCTGGACCTCGATTCCAAATCCAGACCGTGTTTTTAGTTCCCCCAGGTAGTTGTTTAATAATTACTGATTCTGATTGGTCAGAGGCTTCACACTTGACTGACAGGTAAGGGAAGGCTGGGAAACCAGCAGTGCTCGGACCTCGAGGACTGTGAGTTGAATAACCCTGCTTTAGATAGCCCTTTAAAAAAGTAAGAGGTTACTTACAAAGCTGTCTGTCTGTTCTGTAGTCTTTTGAGGGCAAAACACTTTAGATAGGTATTACAATAAATGAATGGTCTATAAGAAAGCTGGACCAACCAAGCACAGTTTCTATGGAATATTGTGATTACATAAGCAGAACAAGTAATTCACATGAATAATGAGTATGGCCCAACCCTGATCTGTTGTGAAAGCTTTGTCAACAGCTGCCCAACGTTCCCTCTCTTGGATCCAAATATATCAATAAGACGAGGACTGTGCTGATCAAGACTTTCATAAAATTCCTGCTTGAGGTGCTTGCCCACAATCATGTTAAATTCAACGCACACCTGAAAAATAAAGAATGCAACAGTATTAGTGAGGATAGCGCTAAATATGTGTGAATGCACCAAAGATACACCCCTCTTTAAATGTGCAAATATTAGTAATATTTAAAAATGTTCAACGCTTCTCCATTTGTTCCATGCACAAATAAACTAAAACTGACCCATATCCTGCCCGTCATACCTTCTCATATGTGTCAAAGAATAAATTAAGAGAAGACAAGTTGATATCCAAATAATGATAGATAAATAAGACAAACACTTAGCCTTTATCATTGTCTCGCTCTCTGAAACATACCTGATCTTCCTGTAAAAGAGCAGGCCCTCCTTCCACCATTTTCCTTATAGCCGGCTGAGACTCGATCCACCACATCATTTCTTCTCAGTACAAACGTCATGTCCATCTTCTGTTGCACAAGCGGTCCATTTGGTTTTTTCTTTTGCATTTCATTAACCAAGTAATAGATTAGTAATATTAATATTACCAAGTAATATTAACGTTACGTGGTCCGTGCTGCAGCGACAAATGGAGCTGCCACAACGTCGGAAAATACGTAATTAACACGAAATTTACTTTAGCGTTTAGTTAACCCGTTGTCACCGCACCGGTATTTCAACGTGGTAAAATATTCCGAAAAACGCTCTACAAATACTGACCGTTTAACGTGAAGCCACAACTTTTCTTAACTGCCGTTTTCTCCCACAGGTGTTTTCGCGCGCTCGTGTCTCAGTTCGAGGTTCAAAGACGCCCCGCCCATCTAATCTTCTTCTTTAGTTTAATCCAACCCGGTGCATTATTTCCACCAACAGTTACGGGTGTGGAGCATTATTGGGGAGTAGACCCCTCCCATCTCAGACAAAAACATAACATTGCATGTCATCTCTCCTTAACGCAATCATTGCATTTTATATATTCAGCCAGATTGTGTAATAATGTCAGTTTTTTAAAAAACATAACACATTAAGTAATGACCACCAGCAAGTTTAATTCAAAATAAAATCCAGGTTCACAGTATAGAGGAGTAAGGTGACCACCGCCTAAGGTGGATTTGCACCTAGGGGCACGGTCTGCACAGGGGCCACGGTCTGCACAGGGGCCACGCGGCAAGGCTGTGCTTCCTAGGAAAGCCTCTAAGTCACGACACTCTTCTTGGAGAAGTTGCTTCATGGGCACCAGCAATTTGGCTGCATCGTGAGCAAATTCCGGCTCGTAAAGTGGATTTATGTGGCGTGCAGGTGAGACTGGGGGAGTTTGTACTACATTAACACTTCAACTGTATACTAATCCTACGCATGTGCACACACACACACACACACACACATCACAGACAGACACACATCACAGACACACACGTGGAAACTCACACACACACGTCACAGATACATAGACACAGGTACACAGACACACGTCACAGACACACACTCATCACACACACACACACACACACACACACACACACACACACACACAGACACAGGACATGCTTAACTGTTTGTTGGGACTTTCCATTTAATCTCATTTAAAGTTAAATAATGTCTCCCAACCTAAAAAAATCAGAATCAGAAGAGAACAAAAGAAAAGTTTTTGTACTGTTTATTTCTGAAAAAGAAAACACAGGCATAAGAGCACACAAACACACGTGCAAAAGCATTCATACACACAAAAATACTTTTCTATTGATTTCCTCTCCCATAGCTCTGGAAGTTGCAGACAGGATGACAGAAGCCCTTGAAAAGAGCAATATTCAATTTGTAACTCTCTGGAGGACCAAGGCCATGTCTCTTTATGGGGAGTGACAGAAGGATGAGGGAGAGGAATTGAGATGGTAACCATGGTAACCCAGTAACCACAGTAACCAAAGTACCACAGCAGCAGTCTGAATTGCAAAATGAGGTAATTTTAAGAAACATATCCCTGAGTACCAAACAATAGAGTAACAATAATTTTAGTTGCATTTCATCTTTATTGACAGTAACTCCATTTTTGAAAGTTAGCAATATGCCCCCGCTGAGGATTGAGACCTTTGTGTGGTGGGGTGGATTTGTACCTTAGTGATACACAGTCTTCTGGGGCTAGATCTACTGATAGGGCCTCTCCTGGTAAACAGGTCTGTGGGTAGGAGCCAGACAATATACAATCCATCAAAATCCCCGGTGAAATGTACCTAGAATAGCATGTGGATCATGCCTGGAACTGGGTTATCAAGACTGACCCTTGGGGCCAGGCCTGAGGGTGGTGTTCACAGGCAGGAGCTGATGACCAGGCCACCCATGTAACTGGATCAGGTTCAGGCCAAAATGCCTACATGGAGTCATTGTGTTGAATCATCAATGTCAAGATAAACGTGGGTTTGCTTGCAGAGTCATTTGGGCAGCAGACCTGGGAAGGTCCCAGATGGATCAGACCTTGGCTTTGAGAACATTGAATGTTTCTTCTCTGGTGAGGAAGGAACATGACCAAGTGTGGGAGATATGTTGGCCTAGGTTCCTCCACAGGGTTACTGACCTTGAAATAGAGCAGCTGCACCTTCAAGAAGAGCCAGTTGATGTAATTCGGGCATCTCTTAAGGATGATACTTGGATAGCTTGGATAAGAGATGTTCTAGGCAGAACCACAGGAAAGAGGCTCCTGGGAAGACCCAGAATATGCTGAAGCCTGCTCTGCTCCACACGCTGCCACCATGACCCGCACGAGCGTGGCAGTATGAGATGAGATTACTTGGCAAACTAGTGTGCAGAAAAAATCTGAGAGATGTAAGACAAAAATGGGAAGTTAAACATTATAATTGTTTTAAAACGTTTCATATCTGTCTGCTCTTTTTCAGAAGTATTACTCAAGGAGCTGCAAATTGCATTGTGTTGTACCTATTGTGCACAACGATAATAAAGGCATTCTATTCTATTCTATTCTATTCTATTCTATTATATTCTATTATATTCTATTCTATATTCATCATCAGAAAATAAAGGGGCACCATAATTCAGTGAAAAGACTCACTGTCTGCTGCTACTAGAATTCATATTACAGCTCTGGAAAAAATTAAGAGATCACTCTATATATTTTTTTAGATCTGCATTTTTAAATCCTGGTTTAATCCTGGTAGCAGAAGGCTACACTGCGAGGCAGGCTGCTTCCAGACTCAAAGTTTCTAAGACAGCAGGACACAAGAACAAGACAGAGATGACCATCAACTTATCCAGCAGTGCCTCATGAATTGGAGGATGGCTTCAAGTTCCCTTCAAAAGGAATGGGAAATATTAAATGGGGTAAAGTGCACTGCTGGGACAGTTCATATCAGGCTTCTAGAAGCAGGACTGAAGCTTCATAAAGCAAGGAAGAAACCCTTCATTAATGAGAAGCAAGGAAGGGCCAGAAGAGCCAGACTGGAGTTTGCGAAAAATGTATATTTTACGTAAGTGCATTCCCATAAACTTAGTAATAAGAGAAACTGAAAATGTTGCTGTGGTCGCTTAATTTTTTCCAGATCTGTATAAGTGGAAAATGAAGTGAACAATGAAAATATCCAAAAGCAGTACTTAAGGAATATAGACGAGGTTAAGGTATTTAAAACAACAGATTTACGATTGTGATTCTCTTCTCAAAAGACAAATCTAGGTTTGGGTTCTGAAAATCAACAAAGTTTTGCCTATGGCACACAGACAGAGTAGTTATTCTCCAGACTCATCTTCTTCAAGGACCATAAATCCTCAAGAACGATGAAAAGTACTTTGAATAGATCATTGCAGGCTTCCCGCTGTGTGTCTGCGTCTCAGCTTTAAGTGGCAGTCTGACCTTCTGCTTGGCTCTTGCTGCAGATGCTCTACCTACTTGCTGTCATTTCCCCTGGCAGTTGTGCCCAGACTTGCTGATTAACGGCAAAAAGACAAGAGGGACATATACAGTTTGCAGTTCCATGTGTCTTTTGCAACCTGGAAATCAAGAATTGAAAAATGGGCAAATAGATCATTTTTGCTTGCCTAATTACATACATTCTCGTGCTTGCTTGCTGTAAAAATACATCTAGCACTGGATATGTTTGTATCTGAGATTTCTGTTTATTCACAATGCATTCCACACACATTTATATTGTTAACTGGAATGGCCCTGGAACAGCACCATATTGACAGAAACTGAACTGGATAGAAACTGGACTGAACTGGATTCAACTAAATGCCTGTGGTCACCAAACATGAATTTGGCTTCCCAGTCAGCACTGGGACTTCTGGAAGCCTCATCCTAGCAAATGATGCTGTGAACTGGGAACAGACTAGGCTTCAGACCAGTAGGGGTGCTGGGGTCCCAGTTATATAAATTCATTTGACTCATTTTAGTCCAATGTCTGCAATCCCAATTAAGGAAGGCAAGAAAATAAGGCAGTTTTTCATTTGTGTGAATTATGCAGTACAATTAATTGCAGTACAACACAATTTGCAAACAGATACATTATACATTATACAGTAATGAGAGTCTTATCCCCAGTGACAATTTTGTAATAACTCCAGAATGTTTCCCTTGTCTATTTCATTTAAAAGTGCTGGCAGTGACTATATGAACTGTAAAATATTTAATCACTTAAATACTGATTGCATTTACCGAAGAGGATGAAAAGACTTTTAATTAGCTGCCATTAACATGCACAATAATTGTACACCCCTTCACCTTAAAAGAGTAATCCATTTAATAATGTATTTAATGCATATGGACATATACAATGGAGTTCAATACAAGATGTCCAATGTAGATTTGCTGGTTACAAGTTTTAATCTTTGCCCCCCTAACCCTACCGTCAGTTGTGGGTAATGACCAACAGCATAAGGCTGCAAGTTTCTGAAAAGAATCCCATAACAAAGATTCTATCAGTGATTAATCTGATGGTGCTCCTTCAACACATTAAATATCTTAATAAAAAAATTTGAGACGCTTGTATGGCCATATGATTTTACGCACCAGGAAGTGAGCACATTTTATATTATGCTAGAAAATCTTCTGAAATCGCTCACAGTCTGAAGGTATCGGTGGCCGTCTGAGGCCTAAGGATAAAACATCAGCTAAGTATGAAGTTCTGAAGACAGTGAAAAAACTGGCCACAGAACTGACTAATCTTGGTGCATGCTAGGCTGTGCACGTAAAGCCGTATAATCAGAGACAAAACAATATGCAGCTCAGCTCAGTACAGTTTTTTGTAACGTGAGAACACAGTATTAATTAAAGGGAAGCGTGATGTAAGCTGAGCTTTCTAAAATGTCCAGCGTTCTGCTACCTGAAGAAGCGTTCCATCCCTGAAGACACCTGAGGGCCACTCTGCTAATCCCACAAGCTTCATAACAGTATTGATGAACAAACATGTCCAAGGACTCAGTTTACTGACGCCGTGGGGAACTCAGACAGACACCAGACACTTCCTGAACCACCGGAACCGAGGATCCACTGTCTCAGATGGTCTTTCAATTAGTTTTCAACATGCATAATTTAACTACTGCTATTGAATTGAAACACGAGTTAAACCAAGTTTAAAAAGAAAAACAAACAAAGGAATTAAAGACGTATAAATAATGAAACAGCAAATACCTACTTTTAGAAACTGAACCTTCTGTGTTATAAAAAATAAAACCAGCACAAATAAATTCACTAACAATAAGGCAAACAGAGACATGGTTTTTGCACCGAGGGTGTTTCACAAAGACATTGCAGAAGAACTGTTTTTTTTTTCGTTTCATTCTAATTTGTTTTGAAAATGAAAAACTATGCATCTGTCATTTCTTACCCTCCAGAAATGCCCATGGTGTTCTATAACGAAACACAGAAACCCTATGCTATCCTATTTAATGGCTTCCAATGTGAGATTCCGCAGCAAGCTCATGACATTTGATAGGATCACGCTCAACGTCATAATTCACCGGTCCATGCTTTCACCGTTAAATCACAGACAGAGACCATATCAAGGTTACAAGTCCGGCCCCAATTCATTGCTTGTCTTGCCAATTTTTTTTTTCTTTTTGGAAAAAAATATAAATTGTACATGGATAATTAAGCTATCAGTCCTTCATGCGCCTGGTTTTCCCTGGACAATGGTTGATGAACTGCTCTGTGACAGATTCAAGGCAAAGGTTAAGAACAGAATAAGAGCTGGATCAGATGTGTGCGAGGAAGAGCGAACAAATTAAAAATCCCACACAGAGAGAAGTTAGCAGATGTTTTGTGAGAATCATCAAATCGCAAGAGCCAAAAATATGACAAATATATTTGTTGATGTTGTCAGCTTGTGGGCAAAATTGGTTTTGTTCATTTTAAAAGTTGTGCTACTGCAGTTGTGGAGAATTGAAAAAGAAAGAAGAAAAAACAAAACAAAAACAAAGGCAGGCAGTAGAAGATTATGGGCCTTTGGGGGAAGGAGCCACATTAAGTTTGCTGTACTAGATCCTAGTGCTGACTCAGATGTCAGCAGGAGTTTGTACAGAGGACCAGAGAAAGGCAAAATGCATGGATTACAACCAGATGTGCAGTCATCTGGGAAATCGGGCAAAAAAGCAAACCAAATAAGGGAAACAAAGCTATATTTAGCTTTAGAGTTGCATTTGTTCATGAAACATCAGGAAAATAATGCTCAAAGCAGCACAACTAATTTAGTACAAGGTCACCTGACCCTAGACATCATTCAAGCAATCCCGATGAATACAAGTCCACTAGTGCCTCATAAAATACAGACTCCAGTGAGGCTGCAATATAATGCAAATATAAATTCCTCTACTGAAGAGCTAAAACATAAAATAAACAAACCATGACACCATTTAGGTCTAATCCGGACTAAGCTGTCAGCTCAAAACCCAAGTCTCTGAACTACAGCCCCCTACTGGTGCACATCTGTAAACAGTGTCCCCAAAGGGACTTGCGGATGGAACAGTGGATGTTCTGAGGAGTCCTTGGGGCTATCATAGCTAGTGAAGTCAGCAGAAGCTGCCCCTCAGGGGGAGGAAAGCCCCCCTTGTGCCTAAGGACCAATATCTCCCAAGGATTCACAAGAATGCTTCTGGGCATGGGAATGTCAGAATAATGAAGTGACAGATAAAGGCTTATTTTGCTCAGGACCATCGCAGACCATCAGTAAGACGTGGGACCATCCATATATTTCCTGAAACCGCTTAATCCCAACTGGGGTTGTGGGGGGGACTGGAGCCTATCCCCAGAACAATGGGCACAGGAGGGAACCAACCCTGGGCAGTCGCCAACATACTGCAGTGTGCAGACACACAACTACAGGACCAATTCAGACTCACCCATCAACCTACCCTGCACACTTTTGGACCGGGGGAAGAAACCGGAGCCCCCGGCAAAACACCACGCAAACACGGGAAGAGCGTGCGAACTCCACACAGAAAGGAGCCGGGACCGAAGCCAGGACCTGCTCACTGCGAGGCAGTAACGCTAACCACTGCGCCACCATGCTACCGGGACGGAAGACCAGTAGAGGCATAAAGTAATACTTCATCACTGTACTTAAGTAGCTTTTTTTTCCGAATTTATACTTTACTCAAGTATTTTATGTTGGTGCTGTTTGTACTTTCATTTCGCTACATTTATGAGCCAAATAATGACTTTTCACTATGATACGTCATGCAGGAGACCATCGTCACTCACCCAATTAAAGAAGTTTACCCAAGCAGCTGTAAAAAACCAGCACCTCAATTATTTCTTTTACAAATGCTGAATCACTGTTGAATTCTGAAAATAGAAATAATAATAATAATAATAATAATAATTTAAATCACAAAAAATTATTTCGTTGTTGAAGACATTTATGTAAAGGTACAGATCTTGTTAAAATGTCAACGCTGATTTACAAGTAGCCCATTACTATTAAACGTTTTTTCAACGTCTTTTCAGCGTTGAACAACTGACTTTATATTAACCACCTTTCAACGTTGAGGGTCGGTCATGTGCTGACTGGACAGTGTTTTTTTTAAAGTAAATCTACTATTAATTCGTTTGTATCCATTAAAAGATGTAGGTTCATACACAGAGTACACCAAATGCACTTAAGATGCACAAAGTAATCCCAATTCACACCATGGCGTTTCCCCATAAGGGGCGGTTAGGGGGCATATTATACTGCCCCGCTAGCCAGTGATAGGTTTATCCTTTATTTCCTTGCAGTTGGCTCCCTCTAGGCGATCTCAGGTAAACATTGTGGGAGGTGTCTGGGACTGTTAAAAACAAGTTCTGCAAAGGACTATATGCACATGTTTATGTGAGCAGTGAGAAGAATAACGGGGGCTGCAGGTCCACAGGACGGGACGGGGCCGATGTAGAGCATCATGTCTTGCTTTGACGGCTGCCACTGCTTCAGCCACAAAAGGGGCAGCAGTATCCTCTACAGCATTTTAAAAAACGGCACCCAGCCGGACCGGCAGTCACAACGAGCGGCGGCTCTCGTCCCGCAACAGGCTTGCGCTTGTGCCTCCAAAACGAAAGTGGCGCTTCGATATCCGCAAATAACGTGCAAAGCGGCGTCCGCGGTACTGGTCAAGACGCTGAGGTTTGTCAAGAATGTGCCTTGCTTTTGTGAGCTGCCAGCCGGCGATCAGGAGCTGCTCGTCCGGAACAGCTGGGCTCCCCTGCTGGTGCTGGGCATGGCTCAGGACAGAGTCGACTTCGAGACGACGGAGACGGCCGAGCCCAGCATGCTGCAAAGGATTCTGACCAGCGGGCAGGAGAAGCGGGAGCATCAGCGGAACACGAGCGACAGAGTGTCCCTAGCAGACATCCAGCGCATTAAGGCGTTTCTGAATAAATGCTGGGGACTGGATATCAGTACCAAGGAGTACGCCTATCTGAAGGGAGCCGTCCTCTTCAACCCAGGTTAGTTTGGCGCCTTGGACAGAAGTAGAATAGCTTCAGATGATTAAAGACGTGCCACAACTTCTGCTTTAGCTATATTATCAGGCGAGTCCTTAAAGTAATACACGTCATCCCGAAATGACAAAATCGGGCATATCAAAAACAGCATTAATAATAAATATTAATTATTGACAGTAACAGCAACAATAAAATAATGGATATAATTCGCTTATTAGCTGGTTAAAGATAGATGACATTTTCGCAATAACGATTTTGTGTTTTGCCACGTTAGATCTAGCGGGCCTCCAGTGTCCGCACTACATCTGCGGGCTGCAAAGCGAAGCGCACCGAGCGCTGGATGAGCACGTCGGCATGATCCATCGAGAGGACACGGCCAGGTGCGCGAAGCTCTCCGGCACCCTCTCAGTGCTGAGCTCCGTCCACGCCGACGTGGTCGCCGAGCTGTTTTTCAGACCCATCATTGGGACGGTCAGTATGGATGAGCTTTTGATCGACATGTTTTACGGGAAATAGACTAAAACGGACGGAGCGAAGTTATCCAACCGGACAGAAGCGACTTACTGGGAAGAAGTGACTTGTGGTGACATAGTTACTCGACTTCACAAATTGTTTACATTTTATTTTTGCACAGTAAAATATTCCCTGAACTGTACCGGTTGAAATTCCATGCGGGTTGCTTTGGAGCAGATACATATGGACTTTCACTAAGGACACCTGCGCAAAATAAAAACCAGCATTTAAACACCTGTGACTTTATTTTACTAGGCTAATACAATTTCAATAATAATGTCAGTCAAATTCATTTGAACTGCACCCGAAAATCTGAAGAGTCTATATTAATTTAGTATGTTAAAGAAAGAACTGCTAAGGAACCAAGACGTTCTGTAAAATAAAGCATGAATATACGTACCTCCATCTTCTAAGCGTTTTCCCTGGTCAGAATGGCAGAGTAAAGCATGAATGTGCCACCTAAATATTGTAAAAAGTCATACTGTGAAGACTTACTGTTGAAAAACAGTTTCTCCTGTCATTAAGAAATGGAATATGGAGTGGACTACACTCAGAAATAAGCGTAAAAAATTGTACCTTTGCTTGTAACTGAGACTGTACCTCTATCACCAAGGTAAAAACAGTAATGTACCCCTAATGGTACAATGTTCCTCAGAGTCCATTTCTGTACCTTAAAAGGTCCAATTACCTACAGCTAAGGGCACAATTGGCAGACCTTTGAGGGTACAGCCCCAGTGACAAGCAAAGGTACACATTTTTATCCTTTTTCTGAGAGCATATTATTGTGACATGTGGACATCCATTTTAAAGTTTAAGTACTGCAAGTTTTTTTTTTTTTTAATTATCCCAGATGTTATGTTGACGTTAAGATGCGAATGCAACAATTATCGTTTCATATTGAAAATAAAGTACATTGTTTTGTCTGCCAATAATACATTTAATGTTACCATTCTATAAATTTGTGTCTAGAATTTTCATGACATATGACAACTATTTTCATAGAATGAATGAAACATCCACTCTGTTTCACCTGTAAACAGCATTTCATTGAATCCAAGATCTTTGGACCCAGTCTCATAATAACGTTACTATAATATAAATTGTAAACAACAGCGTAGAACCCATAAATTAAGGTTTCTATCTATCCATCAATCCGTCCACCCATCTATCCATCCATTAAACACGTTAAAAACGTTTATCCTTGTCAGTGTCCTGGGGCTTAATCCCAGACTTAATCATGAAGATGCCTATTTCTGTTTAAAACTTGCTAAACTGGGAACTCAGCTGAAGTTAATGAAACTGAGTTGATATGCCATACAGTAATTATAATGGCAATATATCAAGTCAAGAGAAGCAATTACTTGTCAGAAGAATTCTGTCACTTCTGTGTACTTCTGCACAACTGACAAATAAAGCTGAGTGAGAAAAAAAAATAAAATTCTTTTTTTGCCCCACAGAGGGCAGTGTTTAGCTACATAGCAGACTGCTGGACACAAAGCTAAACGGCAAAGCTCCATAGGAAACTTAAAGATGGGAAATCTGTCACTCGCATTTTGACTTTTCTTGCATGAGTTAGTGGCGTGTGGTGGGAGTCTGGCTGTTGTAATCTGTGGAATCTCCATGACAATGTTCAGTTTCATTTAGATGGCAGGAAACGCAGATCCCCCTGCTCAGCCACTCATTACTGAAAGATTTGCTTTGACCTCCATTGAAAGAGGTGGCAAGGGAACCAGTTCCAACCAGTTCCAACCCCAAAGATGGCCACCGTCAGTGACTGACAATGTACATCTGACAGGGAATCTGAAGGAGGAACAGAGAGCAAAGTAAATATTCTTTGCGCAGTGTGGTTAACTTCCACCTAGAGGGAAGACGGCCTTCCTGAAGATAAAGGCAAACCTCTGTAACCTGCTCCAGGCTGTTGGCAGAAGGACTACAGAGAGATTCCTCTCTCAGGTCTTACAGCCAGAACTCAGTGGATTCACACAGCATCAGGCTGTAACACACCGCTGCAGATAATAGCCGTCTTAAGAATTTCAGAGTTTTGTACTTATTTTTTGATATGAGGTCTCAAAGACCGCATGCTGCATGAAGCAGGAGCGATACAAGACCTGGCACATTACCTAGTAACTCCTAATGCTATGCGGAGTCCATCAATTTAGAGGCAAAAGGAACCACTACAAAACCTAGAGGAAACACTGCCTTTGATCTCCAGACCACCAAGTGATTGTCGTACTTGAACAGTTTTACATAAACCAGCAGGAGGTAATAAATTCTAACAATATTCAAATTGAGTGCATCTTCTCATAAAATAATGATGCTAGTGGCTAGACGCCCCCTGCTGTCAACACAGGGAATCTGCATGACATTAGCGACAATAAACCTCAATTTGTCTCTTTCTAAACAAGATGAGGTAAAAAAAATAAAAATAAGAATGTAGGAATGCATACAGGTGTAATATAAACTGCAATAAATTGTACTGATCCAACAAAGAGTTTGCAATATTATCATAAATGCTTTGTTTCATAAAACAAATATTGTTGCAATGAAAAGATGTTCCAGATGCTGGACATCCATCTGGGTCGCGGGGAAGCTGGAGCCAATCCCTCAGATGCTGGACATTTCACTGAAAAATATTTCATACAGTACCAGTCAAAAGTTTGGACACACCAAGCCGCCTACAAATGAGAATGATAGTGTCACATCACATGACCTGCCCACCTGACCTAAACACAGCAGAAATGGATTTGGAGGAGTTTGACCAGAAAGTGAAGGAAAAATGACCAATGAGAGCTCAGCACAAACATGGGAGCTCCTTCAGGACGGCTGGAAAAGCATCCCAGGAGGCCGCCTCATGGAACTGGCACGGAGGAGAAAATAGAGTCAGCCAGTCCCTGGAGCAATTGGGGTTAAGGGCCTTGCTCAAGGGCCCAATGGTGGCATCACTCTGCTGACCACGGGATTTGAACCAGCAACCTTCTGGGTCCCGACCCACAGAGCTGCCTTCCCCCACCAACAATTTTATTTGTTTAATCAGTCAGTGCATAATTCCATGCACGTTATACTGACCCAACAATGTCATGTTTGCAGGAGTAGCACCACAGGTTTCCTCTCCACGACCAGCCGTCAGTGTGGATTAACGTTACTCTTCGGAACACATCAGTATGTTAGACACTTCTCATTGCTGCGGGAAGCATATATTGATCTCTGCTATGCTAATCAGACAGTATTTACTTCCAGGCATCAGCTCTCACAAGCCTTGTTAGCCTGTATTAAAGCATTTCTGCAAGCAGTTTTTAATTGTCACAAATTAGGCACAAACATTAAACAGCTTAAAGGCATATTTATCCATGAGCACGTCAAATGTAGCTCCTTTTGTCACAGAGGCTGACATTGTGTGTTTCTGGGAAACCATGATCGACACCAGTTTGTGGCTGAAAGAAGAGACACCTAAAGATTATCCATAACTGGAATGCGGGCTTTTGCATACAGACAGCTAATAATGGAAGCAAATACCAGTTTATTCCTAAAGCCCCAAGAGTTTACAATCCACTTACCATAATTAGATGAACATTAAATTTATCTGCTAATTAGCTAGACTCCTCCACGTTGACTTGTAATGGCTTAGCATTCTCCGCAGGGCCTCCTAGCTCACCTGGAAGCATGTTTGGTTATAGGGGCAGCGCCGTCGGTCATTAATGTATGAGAACAAGCTAATGTAGCAGGTGAAAGTGCATTAAGAAGTGGCCTGGTGACCACGGCCTGCATGTCTACAACAGCTGCTAAGATAGTAGCTTCTTGCTGTGTGAGTTTTAATCTGCAAAGGACTCTGCTGATACAGGGAGTCGTGACAAAGCGCTCGGCAAGGCAGACACCCCTCCGGAAACCAGGCCTGAATCCTGGCACGGTGCCACATCTGATATGCTACGTACAGCACCCCCCCCAGCCCCCCCCCCCACAATGGGGCCAATTGCTGGAAAGAGGGAGCACTGGGAGAAAAGGCTCTCCCCAGTTAATATGGCATCAACCAGTGCAGACTGGGGGAGGAGGTCAGGTGAGAAACAATGAGGACATGAGCAGAACACATAAGGCCAAGCAGATGAGAGGAACAGGAATTCTGTTTCGCAGGAAGTTTACAAACTGAGGACTTATAGTGGGCAAAAAAAAAGCACAGGAGCAAGACCCTGGAATAGGTTCTAGCTGAGACCTGGACAGACAGAGATAAATACTCGCATACGAGCGCACAGAATCAGTACCACCATTTCTGCTGATTTTTTTTTTTTTTTTGACTGCTGCGTCATCTGACTAACCGCAATCTGCCCGCTTAACTTTACGGCTTTGCATGCCTCTGTTGGGGAAAAAAAACAAAAACGTATAAACAATTCTAAAGAAGTCTGTCAAACAAAGAGCAGATAAAACAAGCAAGCCATCTGGTCCTGCAAGTTTTACTATATCTGACGAAGACTTTGGGTGGGAGAGTTTCCGGAAGGATGGCCGTCAGCCAGATGTGAAGACTTTTAATTTCAGGTTTGTATACAATGAAGATTTTCTATATTTTGCTGCTAGAATAGCATCTTTACGAAGAATCAGTGTTATATGGTGAACTTCCTTTAGTGGGACGTAGTGTAGACTCCTACTTGAATTTTCTGTGTGTTTTTTAAGAATGTATTTTTTAATGCGCTTTTTACTTATCCGGTCAGTTCAAATGGGTGTGAAGTGGAAACCCACTCAGGATGCAAACCTGACGCGTGTTGTCATCTCGCAGCCGTACTGAACCACAATGACTCCGCCACTGATTTCAAACTCCTATGTGATTCCCCAAATTAGCGTTTCTATGAGATGGGTGACAGTGAAAAAGACCCACAGATAATTTTTTTGCTCAAATGTATGCCAACCAATTGCAGTACTTGCACTTACTGAGGCAGCACTGGGAACAATGGATCAAAAAAAGAAGAAAACAAAAGACTTTGGTATTTCACATGAGCCTCGGATAGCAGGTATTTTCAATAACAATAATTTGTATTGGTTGATTGGGGCTGAGGGTAGGACAGCTGTTTTGCTGGGGGGCAATGGAGACAACTGGCCCCTAGCACGACGTCTACAGAACAGTCATACATGCTTCAAACATCTTTTAAGGGCTCCTCTGCTAGACCATGCAAAATGAAATAATGAATCAAACAAATTCTGTCTGTCGAGCTTATGACTGAGTTGCTGGTGGCTCGAAGCATTAAATGACCTTAAGACAAAAAGCTTCTTGCTGTAACTCGTCAGCGCAGAGGATTTATGCAGCTGCGAGGGCAGGCTCAGGCAGAAAATGAGCATATTCTTTCTGGCATGTGGGGTGGAGGTGGTGAGGTATTCTGGGAAAAACAAGACGTTCTGAGGTGTGCTACGCTGAAAGGTAAGTGCATTTTCAAATCCCAGGATGATGATAAATGATAAATAATCGCTAGATTAGATCTCTATAGCACTTTTCTAAACCCAAAGATGCTAATAATATTTTAAGAAAGAAAAACATAGAAATGGATGGAACTAAGAGAATAGGAAGGCTTGGGAGAGCCAAAACGGTTTAAGAGAGAGGGTGACTTACGGCTGTCAGAGGGAAGGGGATTCCAAAGACAAGGAGCTTCCCTGGAGAAGGCTTGGTCACCAAAGCTGTGGTGTTTGGAAGGAGGAGCAGTGAAGAGGCCAGAAAAGGAGGATTTAAGAGCACAAGAACGATGGCAGAGCAGGAAAAGATCAGACAGACAGGGGGAGAGAGATTACTGAGGGCTTTGTAGGTGATGAGAAAATTTTTTTTGGATGCGGAATTTCACAGGGGGGCAGTGCAGGTCACAGAGAACTGGAGAGATGTGTAGGTGGATCCGGGTGTTGGTGAGGAGGCAAGCTGCAGAGGTTTGGACCTTTTGAAGCTTGTGCAGAGATTTGGAGCTGATGCCAGTCAGGAGGAAGGTTACCATTGTCCTTCCTGACTGGACTCAGCTCCAAAGGTCTGAAGGGTTTCCTGTCTCAGCTCAGGCTGGAAGGGGAGCTGACTTTGGCCTAACAAGGCCTCCAAATGCAACGCTGCAGGCCAGAGGTCTAAGCTTCAGCCCACAGTCTGGTGTTTCCAAACTTCTGATCCAGCTACACATCTTAATTAGTACAATCAGTTTATAATGTACCTCTTATGACTTCACTTTGTGCCTGAAATCTAATAAATTGCAGTTAAAATATAAAATACAGACTATGTAAGATTAACTGCTCAATAGAGGAGACATGGATCATATTTTATGGCAGTGAGATTATCTCTAGGCCCTCATCAATTTTTCATTTGTACTTCACTTAAAGAATTAATTTTACAAGAGCTCAGAAGGACATCTTTGGACAGACCAGCACTACGGACAGGGATTTCCTTCCCTTACTGCAAGACCCCGCTCCTCGTGTCTGACTGTTGAGCGTCACGCTCATACTCTCCGGAAGGTAATCTGGGGCTGAGACAGTACCGACCTCCGTGACTTAAGGGAAGTTGTCTTCCTCTGCGGTGCCACCTTAAGAAGCTCTAGGCAGGAAAAATTTGGTAGGTTTCTAAACAGGGATGGACATGGTACGCAAGTACGCATTCACCTTTAAAAACGATACATGCGAAAATGGATTGTTTGTAAAAGTGCAAATGCGTAGTTAGTGTATGTGCCTTTGCACTGCTATGACAAAGTAATATCTTGCATTTTAACCTGTATACCGCAAATGAAGTAGAGTTAACATATCAAGATTAAAATATATTATATATTTTTTTCAAATCAGCGCAAATGCACATAAAATAAGTACGCATTTACAGTTACCACAATCGATTGTCGCACGGTCATTTTTAAAGGTGAATGTGTACTTGTGTACCAGTTATGTCCATCCCTGGATATATCTTACAATTTAGGCACTTACACAGCTATCCAATTTCAGCAAAGCGATTCTGTTTAAGAGTCTCTCAAAGGACGTAACAGCAGAGACATCGCACCGGGTGTCTCAGAGCTCAACAGCATGTGTCAACAAGGGGTACCGAGCACTTCTGCACTTAATCTCCCATTTCTTTAATCAACATCACATCCTTGCTGCTGTCTCCCTTGGTTCACGTCAGTAGGCATGCAATGGATAAATTATGGCTTGATTAAACCACAGAGAAACAAACTCCTTTGATTTTCAGAGAGGTGAGTGACGGTCTGTTTGCTTCTATACACCCCTGGCCCTCAATTAGAATCGGGGTCAGATTGTGTCAGAGTGATGGAAAAAAAAAGGCACACAGCAGAACTGAGCTGCTGTCAGCTAGCAAACAGGCTTCCCAGCATGCTCCAGGGCTTCCCAGCATGCTCCAGGGCTTCCCAGCATGCTCCAGGGCTTCTTTGCCCCTGGAAACAAGCCAGCAATACAATGTGACAACTCAAGGTTTGCAGTAAGGTTGAGAGTGTCCAGAGACTTCAGGCTTTCTATGCATTTGTGTGCAGGTACTTGTTACTTGGTATGATACAGATCAATGCTCACATTGAGCTACAGCTGTGAGCCTGGGATAATCACTTACACCAGCTGTAGAGAACTTGGTAGGCAAAGTGCTTAAATAATTTACTTGTCCATCTTCCGGCAATGAACAGTAACATCAGATGTTCTTAGAAAGTTCTGCTTTAAAGATCACATGACCTTGTTACTCATGGTCCACATACTTTTATATTCAGAGAATCTGGCACGCCAACATTCAGGCAGACCCCAAGTCCAATATCCTCTGAACGTCAGAACAAAAAAATTACAAGCCAGTGGATGGTGGTTCGGACGCGTCATTTTCGCTAAAACGCACTGAGTGAGAACTTCTGTGAACCCCTGAAGAGAGAAGCACAAAGTTCACAGAATGGAATTTGCTATCAGGTGAGCTACTGTATATTGAACTGCTGCTTTATGGAAGAAGGCATCACCTCGTGAGTCTGACAGGTGGACACATTTTTCCAGAATATAATTCGGTTATACCTTAGCAGTTTGTCACATATTAGCTAATGTTTCCCTCATGGAGATGCTGGTCACAGCCAGGGGTTTTCTCAGCGGCATGCATGAGATGTATTTTTCATGTTAATTTAATACAGCTATGTTGAGTAATGCAGGCCCGTGTCTTGGTCTGATATTCAAATATGTTCAGGTTTGTCTTTCGGCTTAATCTATTTAATACCTCCTGGATACTGCCCAGATTTCCCTTGCACTCTGCGAGAGTCTATTTGTGCGTGTTTGTAGCATGTGTACCTGTGGACCCCTTCCTGGGAATTAAGTGAGATGAAACGAAAGTGCAGCAGGACTTATGCAAATACAGGCAAATTTAAGCGATCATACTGCACGCTAATGATCTGGCGCTTCGTTTCCCAGAGGCCCCCCTGCAGAGACACTGCCGCAAAGACAAAACACCGTAATCCCTTCAACCTTCTTCATTTATTCTGATGGTTATTCTTGTATTAATCACACTGGCCCTGCAGAAGCCCCGCTTTATCTCCAATTAAGCGCTTAATTGCAAAGACAATATCGAACCGGGTAGATCTGTCAGTGCTAATGAAGATGACGTGGGATGAAGGCCAACGACGGACCATGGCCACTTGCCGCTGGAGGTCCCTACGTTTCCGTGTGACGGCATCACCCAGGTGAGGATTGTGAGGACCGAGGATTGTGCCCCTTCTGCTTAGACAAGCATCACGCACCATACTGACCTCTGTAGTCAGATTACACTGCCCTGGCAACAACAGGCTTGACATTGATGCTTGAGGCAAAGATGAAGATCAGGCCGCTCAAGGTGGAGAGAGCGAGAGATCTGCAGGATCAGCTGCAACCAATCACGACTTTAAACTCGTCATTAAAACTAATACAAGACCAGAAGTGCTGCTCCGAAACCCTGAAAGTGCAGAAATCTACAGGCAAATTAATCAGTCAATAACTCAGCTGAACAGTTACCCGCGATATTTCACAAATGAATCATCATTATGCTTCATTGATCAAAGCACTCATTAGAGGGAGGTCTTTGATGCACAAATTATTTAGGCTGTTTAATTGAGCACTTAATGACCCGTCAGATGGGACAGAGGTGGCCTGTACTACCAAAATAAAGCCAAGCATTGGCATTGACTGCCTCAGGAATGTTTTGCTCACTCAGCGAGATGTGAGCATAGATGGGCAGACTAACCAGCAGTGGTTCAGTCTGCCTTCCACGTCCACATAAATCAACATGACCTCATTTGCTTTCACCAGACATCGCTATGGGCCTTGCATGAACTGGTTCTGAAGTGAGATTTAGGCCAAATCTGACAGGGCCATTCCTCTGTGAGTCTTCCTTAGCGATCCTTAGAGTGGCCTCAGCTAAACTCTGCTGGGTGTGAGCAAGGTGACCACACACTGGCCTACAACACCAAGAACATTCTGGCTCAGAAACCTCAAACTTGGCTGTGACAAGAGATCACATGCAGTCTTAACGTCAACGGAAAATAATTCATGACAGATTTTGATTAAGTGTTCTACGTGAAAATACCAATACCAGTTCATTACTGAGCACTCAGAGGCTCAGACACCCCGTGACATTCGCATAATTCCTTAATGCTCACCCTTATCCGGAATAATTTCTAAATGCAGGCACCTACAACGTCCTGCTGACCATCCAGACAATTTGCCCGTTTCCCTGGCACAACAGAGAATGCTACGATTCAAAAATCATGTGCATATCTGCCGACAGAGTGACTCACATCAAATATACTTCTCTATGAACACACAGTTCCGTCTGAAGCAGAATGCTAAGCACAGGAATACTGTTTCCCGGGAGAATCGCGGCAGGTGGGTGACGATTACGACAGCTCTGCTTTGATGTTTCTAAGCTCCAAAACTCCATAACAGCATGGTGCCGATTATTGATGAGTTTGATTTTGAAAACTGACTGATGCAGTTTGAAGTAGCCAGACATTCAGCTACACTGTTCTTGGATGGGATGATGCATATATCATTATAAAAATGGATCTGACTGGGTTTCTGTAATTGATGAGGTTAGTTGGGGAGAAGGAAAATACGTGGCACTCTTTCATGCAGTATCTTTGAGCACAGGGGAGAGCTAACCGTAAAGAGGACACCCCCACTGAAACAATAAGCACTTCTGGGCTCTCAGACATCTGTTGCTGTATTTCCATCTTATAATTCGGAACCAGACATTTTGTTGACTGTGTTTCGCTGGGTTAATTGAAACAAGACGTTTAATAAAGCTCTCTCTCCCCTCAAACTGCTGTGGACCCACTTGCCTTGAGGCAGGAAGATAATAACACTACTAATAATAAAGCATCGCTTTGCACCTCCGTAATGGATAACATTCAACCTCTTCATTACCCAGACCACTGCAACATGGACAGTACCTAAGAGTGGCCAGAAGATGGCACTGTTTTACAAGCTTGTTTTTCCTAGAAAGATACAGGAAGGATGCCATTGGTATTAAACTGTTTCTAATAAATATAATTACTGGAGAAGTATTTGAGCAACAGCAAGACGGCTGCCATACTTCTGACTGATCACTCTGCAGATTTCATCTGTAATTGTTCACAATTGTGTGGAACTAGAGCACTTATCTGAAGCAAGCTCTGAGTGACCAGTCGAGACTGTACAATGTGATGAAAAGGGGACCACAGCAAAAGGAACGTACTTTTGCCTGGTGTTGATCATCCATCAGTTATTCTGCTCTTCTTAAAGGACCCGTTAGCATAGGATTTGTTTCTTGTCAAATAAGAATATCACCGAACCATGTGTTAGATTAATTCCTTCTTATGAAGTCACAATTTTCATGACGTGAGAGAGCAGCCTTTGAACCCTGCGATGACTGACAGTACACAGAACTCCCACACGCTGTAGGATACCTACCATCATGTTTTGTTTACAGAAAATATGCAGAAATTCATGCCTTTGCCAAGGAAGACTCTCGGAGTCCTATGCTGAAGCGAAAGCTGTTTAATGACACAAACAATCTGCAAACTTTCAAAATCCCATGAGCTTCCATGACTGAGCTTTCTTAAGTAAATGGGGTTTACCCAAGACAGACCTGGGAAGAATTACAAAATTACAATGTCAAATGATACGACAGGCTAAGTCACAAGAAACAGACCCAGAGGGAGTCGCTGTGAATTTAGATACCATCTTACACTGGGACTGAACATCCTGAATTGCCAAATCAAATAAATGCATTACAAAAAATCCTGTTATCTTCAGAATGAATAGACAATTATACCAAGTCACTACATTCAACATATAGTCAATGTCACAAAAAGGCATTTTGGACTAGTGACAGGCAACAGGAAGCATACCAGAGTGGATTTTGTATCAGTAAAGCAGTAATCACTAGCCAAAGACAGTGAAATCCACCTGCCCCAATGAAACTTAGCAGGACCAGCTGGGTGTATTTAAAGAGCACTGGGTTTGCAATGTGCTGGCAAGGTGTCATG